TCCACATAAGAGGTTGTTCTGGAAACTGGAAAATATTGGAGTGACAGGTACGCTTCTAACATGGATGAAAAATTTTCTGACTGATAGAAAAATGAGGGCTGTGATCAGAGGCAATGTATCGGACTGGAGAAATGTCACAAGTGGAGTACCACAGGGTTCAGTTCTTGCACCAGTGATGTTTATTGTGTACATAAATGATCTACCAGTTGGTATACAGAATTATATGAACATGTTTGCTGATGATGCTAAGATAATAGGAAGGATAAGAAACTTAGATGATTGTCATGCCCTTCAAGAAGACCTGGACAAAATAAGTACATGGAGCGCCACTTGGCAAATGGAATTTAATGTTAATAAATGCCATGTTATGGAATGTGGAATAGGAGAACATAGACCCCACACAACCTATATATTATGTGAGAAATCTTTAAAGAATTCTGATAAAGAAAGAGATCTAGGGGTGGTTCTAGATAGAAAACTATCACCTGAAGACCACATGAAGAATATTGTGCGAGGAGCCTATGCCACGCTTTCTAACTTCAGAATTGCTTTTAATAAAGTGTCAAAAACCCTTCCCTCAGTATGGGTATGTAAAAAAAAAGGCGAAATTGTACTTACTTTGGCTGCTATGGGGTCCGGAAGTTGGGGCGTGACGTCATCATTCCCCGTGCGCCCGTGCCGTAAGCTCTCAGGGGCGGTGGGGCGCTCGGGGCGGGGCGCGCGAGTTGCCGCGAATATATTTTCGTTCATTTTTTGCGCACCTTTCCAAATACATTTTCATTGTTTTTATGTGCCAATCCAATGTATAATGAACACATACACTATAATATCGCAGTACAACATCCGTACTGTCCGTAGACACTGTGTTACGTGCATGAAACTTGTGTACACATATGCAGCACATATTTACTATGTATCATGCTAATTTGTGTATATATACAATCTACTTACACACTATATACATTCACCATCAACACATTCAGAACACCGCGTAGCAGCTGCTTCGTATGGGCCAACAGCAGCTGCCTCGTATGGGCCAACAGCAGCTGCCTCGTATGGGCCAACAGCAGCTGCCTCGTATGGGCCAACAGCAGCTGCCTTGTATGGGCCAACAGCAGCTGCCTCGTATGGGCCAACAGCAGCTGCCTCGTATGGGCCAACAGCAGCTGCCTCGTATGGGCCAACAGCAGCTGCCCCGTATGGGCCAATAGCAGCTGCCCCGTATGGGCCAAGAGCAGCTGCCCCGTATGGGCCAATAGCAGCTGCCCCGTATGGGCCAACAGCAGCTGCCGCGTATGGGCCAACAAGAGCATTTGGCCATCAACACATTCAGAACACCTCGAGTGAGAGCAGCCACACCCAGCCTGTCTCCCTCACTCCAACATCTTACTCGCCAACATTGCTCCTCCCACCATATTGTTATAGTTCTTATTACACATGTTCTATATACCTATCTACATGTTTTATTTACCAGAACTATGTAAGTAAGCCGGTATTGTGTCCAAACAGTACAGTGGCCACCATACACTGCATGAAAAATCACACAGCAGACGACGCTACGATTACGTCACCTCCCTCACCAAAATAGCTCCTCTCAACATTCTCCTGTTGCTGTTCTTACACTATATACACACACTATATATACCCATGTACATATGTGTTGCCCATAGCGAACCACTAAGCTAGTATGGTGAGCAAAACAAGAGTGGCAGCCACACACAAAATGAGGCTTCCTCAATTCTCGCCCTCCCTCCCTCATCAAAATTCCTCCTTCCACAATACTACGCACAACGCTAATTATAACCACATTCCTGCTATTATCACAATCCTGGTCACTAATTCCTGTAAATGAATAATTGACCACACGTTTATTTTGAAAAGGAACCTAAGAAATCATTTGAAGAGTCCTAGATGAACGAAATAATGCTGTGGTGCTGTGGCTAGCGCTGTGAACATCGTGAACAGCATTGAATCACTGATATTTGAACATTGTACCCAGTCATTATCACACTCAGGCTCTAATATAACACTATCATAGCTAAATAATACAAGTTATAACACATGGATGGCGGTATACTAAAGAAATTGTTCACGACTTTTGTTAGGCCAAAGCTAGAATATGCAGCAGTTGTGTGGTGCCCATATCTTAAGAAGCACATCAACAAACTGGAAAAGGTGCAAAGACATGCTACTAAGTGGCTCCCAGAACTGAAGGGCAAGAGCTACGAGGAGAGGTTAGAGGCATTAAATATGCCAAAACTAGAAGACAGAAGAAAAAGAGGTGATATGATCACTACATTCAAAATAGTAACAAGAATTGATAAAATCGATAGGGAAGATTTCCTGAGACCTGGAACTTTAAGAACAAGAGGTCATAGATATAAACTAGCTAAACACAGATGCCGAAGAAATATAAGAAAATTTACTTTCGCAAACAGAGTGGTAGACGGTTGGAACAAGTTAGGGGAGAAGGTGGTGGAGGCCAAGACCGTCAGTAGTTTCAAAGCGTTATATGACAAAGAGTGCTGGGAAGACGGGACACCACGAGAGTAGCTCTCATCCTGTAACTACACTTAGGAAATTACACACACACTGCAGAGAAAATACTGACAAGAATGAAGTTAAAATATCAGAAGCTTAAGCACACATTTACAGTACTGAAATATAAATTATTTGTTCAATGATATGAAATCCCTGGATTTGAAGGTTCTCATAATCCATCCTATCATTTTTCTAGCCGACATATTTGTTAGGGTTATGCTCCCTAAACATTAGCTTGTCATATGAGTATTCCCAGATCCTTTACATGTTGCTTTCCAACTATGGGCAGATTGGACTGTTTTGTACCATGTATTTAATGGTCTTAATTTTTACCATATCTAAGTACTGTACCTGGAATTTATCACTGTTAAACATCATGTCATTTTCTGCTGTCCAATAAAAAGTATTATTAATATCAGCTTCTTCAAGTTTTTCAATGTCTTCTACATAAGTCATTTTCATGCTGATTTTTATGTATCTGGAAAAGACAACACTAAGCTATGACTTGTATTTTAGTCTATATCTGATATGAGAATAAGGACGTTGGTGAAGGGACGACGATGTTTCGGACCATTCTCAAGTCACAATGGACTTGAGAATGGTCCAGGACGGACTGAAACGACGTCGTCCCTTCACCTTCTAGTGTGTGGTCTGGTCAACATACTTTAGCCACGTCATTTAGACTCATCGCCTGCATGAGAATAAGGAAAATCAGTGGTGCAAAGACTGTGCCCTGAGGTACAGAGCTTTCCACTGTGCTTGCACTCGATTTGATTTGATTGACTGTTATTCGGTGTTCTGTTTGACAAAAAATTTAATATACATTGCCTTCTTGTTATTCCTATTGACCTCAGTTTGTAGGCCATAACTAAGTCCATTACCAAGCCCATCACTAAGTCTCATCCATGGTCCCATTTATCAAATGCCTTTACAAAGTCTATGTATACAACATGTGCATTCTGTTTTTCTCCTAATGCATCAGTGTATTGTCATAGTATCTATGAAAGGCATGATTTTTCAGCTATAAATCCATGTTGACCTTTGTTGTGGAGGTCTGGTCTTCATGAAACTGAAGGTTATCTTGAGATGATTTCGGGGCTTTAGTGTCCCCGCGGCCCGGTCCTCAACCAGGCCTCCACCCCCAGGAAGCAGCCCGTGACAGCTGACTAACACCCAGGTACCTATTTTACTGCTAGGTAACAGGGGCATAGGGTGAAAGAAACTCTGCCCATTGTTTCTCGCCAGCGCCCGGGATCGAACCCAGGACCACAGGATCAGAAGTCCAGTGTGCTGTCCACTCGGCCGAGCGGCTCTTCTGATCAGACCTGACTTCTGATCACACTCTCAAAAGCTTATATTATGTGGCATGTTAGTGCGACTGGTCTATAATCTAAGACAATGCTTTGCTTTTCAATGCCTCTCTTGTGTAAGGAAGCTATATCTGCTGATTTAAGAACCTGTACTCACCTATTTGTGCTTGCGGGGGGTTGAGCTCTAGCTCTTTGGTCCCTGTGTTATTTTATCTTCCGGTGCCTGAGCTTTTTCTCGACATTGCACAGAATGCTTGTGCTACTGACACTTTGCATGTCTTTACAATTATTGAATTCCAGGAGTCTGGACCCTTTGTACATTCCCTGTGTGTACGTTCCCTATTTTTTTTTTTCCCAGTCCATCCTTTTATTGCTAAAATTTAATTTATTGAATAACCCCTCTTACTTGATCCTTTTTTAGATAATCAAGTGAGTACTGATGAATATTGTATGTATGAGTATTGTTATGTGTATTTTTATGAGTATTAATGTTAGTTTGCACTTGAATAAGATTGTGATCTAAGCACATGGTGTCTGAGATTATAATGTCCCTGATTATTTCTTCATGGTTGTCAAGATCACATCTACAATATTTTCAGCCCTAGTTGGCTCTCTTATCTACCAAAGCAACTGTCACTCCAGAATCCTCATCTTGACCAGGAATCTTCATCTTGACCTGAACTAGCTCATGAAGGCACTTCAGTAGTGTCTACATTTCTAAAACCCTAATCAGTAGAATGAAAAAGTGACCTCAGGCATGCCGGTACATGACAGAAGAGTCTCGAGATGTCTGGTGCGATTAGCTAAAGCTCGACAGTACCAGAGCTAAGCTCGGGGAGATAGTACCAAGGTTTTACCATTTTACTTTCGGAAAAGGGTAACTTGGTTTCAGAAATACAATATTGTGCTTTCCTGAAAGGGTTAATAGAACAAGTGACAAGTGACTTTCTTTATGAAGGATGCCGGATTTGCCTTGGGAGTAATCTATCCACAATTATAAAATACAGTATTATACGAAAACAAAACCTGTTTTGAACAGCCTGGTCAAAGACCAGGCCGTGGAGCCGTTGATCCTCGGAACCATCTAACAAATCCAGATCCTATATATTGAATGCAAGAAATTAGGTATGGAATTACGGTTTTACTTACTTGTTTGCTGTCTATGCACTTCTTCAATCTTTAAATCTTCTGAAACATCTAAGTCATAGAAGTTTACCATCTCTTGAGTCCAGTGGTCACATGATGGTGTTTTTGTTGTATCACATTGGCCTTTTGTATAGTCCATCGTGCGATGATATTCCGGTACACCGCTGTTTGTAGGCAACCTAACTGGCTTACTGATATCACATTTATCTTGCTTCGACTTTGGTATTAGATATGATAATTGCGGGTCAATATTCAGAATCAAATCTGTGCCTTGTGTCGAGTCCGGCAAACTTGAATCAGAATCGCTGGTGGAGTCACGTGTATTGACGACAGGTTTCTCCAGCGTCTTAGCCTTTTTGTATTTATTATTACAAGATGGCTCAAGAGGCAAAGCAGAACTCTTCTCTTTCGTCTTGGTTGTTAGACGCTCTTGAAGATCAGTAATTGTATGCGACTCACTATCAGAACTTGATGACAAGGTGTAAGTTTGGTGTTGTTTTGGGATTGGAGATGGTAGTAAACAGATATCACTTTCAGAATCACTTTCACATGCCAAATTATAACTTCTTTTTAATGAAGTAGGTTTTACACTCTTCAGTTCACTTGAGGTTAAACTCTTACATCTTGAGTCTTCCCATTCACACACCGACGAATCGCTTCCTTCGCTCATCTTCCTTTTCCGAGGCTTTTTCCTTGGATCGTCTTTAGCCATCTCCTTTTCCTTTTCTCTGCCTATTATGGCTAGCTTATTACCAACCTCTTCCTCCACATCTTCATCAGAAATTATTATACACGAATTGCAGTAAAGGTCATCTAGGGGTATACTGCCAGAAATACTACCCTCACTGCATATACTGGAAAATCTTTTCCGAGATTTTCCTGGATTTTCTTTTTTCCTGCATGCTACTGGAGCTGTGCTCTGTGAGGCACTCAAATCAAGTGATGCTGGAACTTTTTTCGACACTTTATCTTGCTGAATGCAAGCTTCCCGAGACTTTTCCTTTACTGGTGCCTTTACTCCTTTACTTTGATCTACCACGGTACTACATGTGGGCACTTCAGGATCAACTGTCAAAATGTCAATAAAATCGGACAGTAAAAGCGTGCCTCCGGTACCGACTCGGAAGCTAGGATAGGGCATGGGGTAGTGAGCCATAGGAGCTGAGGTAGAGCAGGGGGTGGGGATTGAGAACTTTACCCCGGGGTAGAGCAGAGGGTAGTGAGCCCTATGAGTCAGGGTAGGGTTTGGTGGAGGGAATGAGAACCGGGAGTCAGGGTACGGCAGGGGGTAGGGACCCAGGGTAGGGCAGGGTGGGGGGCGTGAGAACCGGGCAGCAGGGTAGGACAGAGGGGGTGGGGGGTGTGAGAATCGGGCGGCAGGGTAGGACAAGAGGGGTGGGGGGCGTGTGAACCGGGCAGCAGGGAAGGACAGGGGAGGTGGGCCCTGGGGCCCACGGTAGGGTAGGGGGTAGTGAGCCTTGGCAGCCTGGGTAGGGCAGGGGGTAGTGAGCCCTGGGCGCCAGGGTAGGGCAGGAGGGTCCAGTTGAGATGAAAGTGGCTGACTATTGTGATCTGGCGTATCCCCGGCATCTGGGGTATCCACGGCATCTGGGGTATCCACGGCATCTGGGGTATCCACAGCATCTGGGGTATCCACGGCATCTGGGGTATCCACTGCATCTGGCAAATCCATGGCATCTGCCGTATCCACGGCATCTGGGGTATCCACGGCATCTGGGGTACCCACAGCATCTGACGTATCCACAGCATCTGCCGTATCTAATGAGACCTCCACGTGATGAAGATCACGTGGAGGGACATCATTGTTTTCTCTTGTAAAGCTCGGTGCCTCACATTCCCCGGTGATACATGGCGAATTAACTCCAGCCGTTTCTTTTTTATGACTGTCCTTGTCGACATCAGTTTTACATAAATCAGGTTGACGGACCTTACTTATTGTGGGGGCTTTAGTAGCATTTGGGTTGGGTTCAAAGTACAGTTGAGCATACAAAGCATATTCCACTTCCTCATCTTCACTGCCAAACTCACTATTGCTGTACGAGCAGTCGCTGTTCAATTTGTGCCTCATTTTATCTATCTGAAAAGAAACACAAAAGATTAACTTTAAAAAAAAAAATAACACAAATAACCTCAACTTGTAGCACCATTAAGTGTCGAGACCTACTTGTGCTATAACTTATGCTATCTTGAGATGATTTCGGGGCTTAGCGTCCCCGCGGCTCAGTCCTCGACCAGGCCTCCTTTTTGTTACACCCCCCCCCCCAGGAAGCAGCCCGTAGCAGCTGTCTAACTCCCAGGTACCTATTTACTGCTAGGTAACAGGGGCATCAGGATGAAAGAAACATTTTGCACATTTGTCTCCGCCTCCACCGGGGATGGAACCCGGAACCTCAGGACTACGAATCCGAAGCGCTGTCCACCCAGCTGTCAGGCGCCCAGCTGTCAGGCGCCCAGCTGTCAGGGAGGCCTTAAGTTAGAGCTGCTTAGGTTTTTTGATGATTCTTCTTGCACACACAGAGCGACATACATCCAAAACAGGCCCACGTATGTAATAATACAGCCTAAAGATGTTACACGTGAATAAAGTGCGTTACTTCTTCAGCCAGGATAAGACCCAACAAGTCTTAAGACCTCAACAGAGCCATGTATGTAACACACCCACCTGTGTAACACAGACTAGTGCAACAGTCACATATGTAACACAGACTAGCATGCAACAGTCACATATGTAACACAGACTAGCATGCAACAGTCACATATGTAACACACCCACCTATGTAATACACACTAACATGCAACAGAGCCACATATGTAATACAGACTAACATGCAACAGAGCCACATATGTAATACAGACTAACATACAACAGAGCCACATATGTAATACAGACTAACATACAACAGAGCCACATATGCAATACAGACTAACATACAACAGAGCCACATATGTAATACAGACTAACATACAACAGAGCCACATATGCAATACAGACTAACATACAACAGAGCCACATATGCAATACAGACTAACATGCAACAGAGCCACATATGTAATACAGACTAACATACAACAGAGACACATATGTAATACAGACTAGTGCAACAGAGCCACATATGTAATACAGACTAGTGCAACAGAGCCACATATGTAATACAGACTAGCATGCAACAGAGCCACATATGCAATACAGACTAGCATGCAACAGAGCCACATATGTAATACAGACTAGCATGCAATAGAGCCACATATGTAATACAGACTAGTGCAAGTCACATATGTAATACAGACTAACATGCAACAGTCACATATGTAATACAGACTAACATGCAACAGAGCCACATATGTAATACAGACTAACATGCAACAGAGCCACATATGTAATACAGACTAACATGCAACAGTCACATATGTAATACAGACTAACATGCAACAGTCACATATGTAATACAGACTAACATGCAACAGTCACATATGTAATACAGACTAACATGCAACAGTCACATATGTAATACAGACTAACATGCAACAGTCACATATGTAATACAGACTAACATGCAACAGAGCACATATGTAATACAGACTAGTGCAAGTCACATATGTAATACAGACTAACATGCAACAGAGCCACATATGTAATACAGACTAACATGCAACAGAGCCACATATGCAATACAGACTAGCATGCAACAGAGCCACATATGTAATACAGACTAGCATGCAACAGTCACATATGTAATACAGACTAGCATGCAACAGAGCCACATATGTAATACAGACTAGCATGCAATAGAGCCACATATGTAATACAGACTAGCATGTAACAGTCACATATGTAATACAGACTAGCATGCAACAGAGCCACATATGTAATACAGACTAGCATGCAACAGAGCCACATATGTAATACAGACTAACATACAAGAGCCACATATGTAATACAGACTAGCATGCAACAGAGCCACATATGTAATACAGACTAACATACAACAGAGCCACATATGTAATACAGACTAACATGCAACAGTCACATATGTAATACAGACTAACATGCAACAGAGCCACATATGTAATACAGACTAACATGCAACAGAGCCACATATGCAATACAGACTAGCATGCAACAGAGCCACATATGCAATACAGACTAGCATGCAACAGAGCCACATATGTAATACAGACTAGCATGCAACAGAGCCACATATGTAATACAGACTAGCATGCAACAGAGCCACATATGTAATACAGACTAGTGCAACAGAGCCACATATGTAATACAGACTAGCACGCAACAGAGCCACATATGTAATAGACTAACATGCAACAGAGCCACACACACATGTAACACCCCACATGTTGGGAAACAGCGAGTAACAGTGAGGGGGAGACATCAGAGTGGCGAGATGTCACCAGCGGAGTCCCACAGGGCTCAGTACTTGGACCCATCCTGTTTTTATGTAAATATATGTAAACGATATTCCGGAGGGTATAGACTCATTCCTCTCAATGTTTGCTGATGATGCAAACGTTATGAGAAGAATCAAGACAGATGAAGATAGACAGAGACTACAGGACGACCTGGACAAACTGGAGGAATGGTCTAGAAAATGGCTGCAAAAGTTCAACTCAGGAAAGCGTAAAGGAATGAAATTAAGCGAAGGGAGCAGGAGGCTGAACACAAGGTACCATCTGGGAGGTGAAATCCTGCAAGAGTCAAATAGAGGGAAAGATCTGGGGGTTGATATCACACTGAACCTGTCCCCAGAGGCCCACATTAAAAGGATATCATCAGTGGCATATGCTAGACTGGCCAACATAAGAACTGCCTTTAGAAACTTGTGTAAGGAATCGTTCAGGATCCTGTATACCACTTATGTCAGACCAATCCTGGAGTATGCAGCTCCAGCCTGGAGTCCATATCTAGTTAAATACAAGACAAAGTTAGAGAGTATTCAGCGGTATGCCACCAGGCTCGTCCCGGAACTAAGAGGAATGAGCTACGAGGAAAGGCTAAAGGAGCTGAACCTCACGTCCCTGGAAGACAGAAGAGTAAGGGGAGACATGATAACCACCTACAAAATTCTCAGACGAATTGACAGAATAGATAAGGATAAACTGTTTAACACTGGTGGGACATGAACAAGGGGACACAGGTGGAGACTGAGTACCCAAATGAGCCACAGGGACGTTAGAAAGACCTTGTTCAGTGTGGGAGTAGTTAACAGGTGGAATTTATTAGGCAGTGATGTGGTAGAGACTGACTCCATACACAGTTTATAATGCGAACAAGCCTGAATGGTCCCCAGGACTATATGCAACTGAAAACTCACACCCCAGAAGTGACTCGAACCCATACTGCCAGGAGCAACGCAACTGGTATGTACATATGATTAAGGCGTCCTGTACATATCAGTTGCGTTGCTCCTGGCAGTATGGGTTCGAGTCACTTTTGGGGTGTGAGTTTTCAGTTACAGTTTATAATGTAGATAAGATAGAGCCCAGTAGGCTCAGGAACCTGTACACCAGTTGATTGACAGTTGAGAGGCGGGACCAAAGAGCCAGAGCTCAACCCCCGCAAGCACAACTATATGAGTACAATTAGGTGAGTGCACACATGCAACACACACACACATAAGAATATAAGAATAAAGGTAACTGCAGAAGGCCTATTGGCCCATACGAGGCAGCCCCTATCTATAACCACCCAATCCCACTCATATACTTGTCCAACCCACACTTGAAACAATCGAGGGACCCCACCTCCACCACGTTACGTGGTAATTGGTTCCACAAATCAACAACCCTGTTACCGAACCAGTATTTACCCAAACCTTTCCTAAATCTAAACATATACAGTTTATACCCATTGTTTCGTGTTCTGTCTTGTGTTGATACTTTTAATACCCTATTAACACTTTCGTGCTTTATATTAGAGATAACTCGTCGCTGTTTTTCTTACGATTCCGCATAACTGCCTACTTTTCTCGTCCATCGAAAAAATATTTCTATAAATTCCATTTTTTAACCGAAATGGATGGGGATACTTTTGTTTTGTAGAGAATTTATTTGCGAATTTTCTGGTACAAGAATGAATATTATATCACATAAACTTCTATGAGTAAAAAAAAAAATACACAAAGTATGTTTGGGGGTGTGGCGAGCGTGTGGCAGTGGGTTCCCTTTAGCCGTTGATATATCCAACACATGGGAAATATTTGTATGTGTTATGTATATGTCTGTGTAGGGAATTTTACTGCGATCACTGTCATATAAATTATTAAATGTTTCAACAAGTATAAACATGACAAACATCAAACGAACGAAAACAATGCGTTCGTTTCTGCCGCGAACGCATACTGAGCAACGTGGTTCTATATTTGGCGCTTCTCTTACACATGCTTTGTACAAATGTTATACAGTTCATCTTATAGAAAATTTTATTGCGAACACATTGGTATAAAAAAAAAATACGTACATAGAAAAGTAGGGTCAGGAAACGTATAAACTTTCCAAGCATGATTTCCCCCCTGTGTTTTCGCCAGTGCGCTCGCGGCTAACTACTCTCCACTTCACACACTCTTGCGGGTGGGCAATTACCTGTATTAAACATTCATATGCATATGTCCGTGTAGAGAATTTTATTGCGATTCCAATGATACCAAAATTAGCGATGTAGGACAACTGTAGGCTTCGCAACCATTAAGAGAGTGGAAACATTTTGTTGCTGTTTGGCGCTCTCGGCGAGTGATCTGCATAGTTTTTTATTTGGTGTTGATACTCCTTATGTTTGGGCGGCATTTTATAGGTATGCTCTTATAGACAATTTCATTGCGAACACAGTGATACCAAATTTAAATACGTGCGCCTTCAATTATTGTCAGGACAGTCAAAAGAGTGTACACTTTTTCGGTCTTACCGCATAGGCGCGCGAAGTGCCGAAAGCATCTGGGGTATTGTTTTTTTTTGAGCGCCGAGAGTGCGAAAGTGTTAATATCCCCTTTGTTATGTCCATTCATCCACTTGTAAACCTCTATTATGTCACCCCTAACTCTTCGCCTTTCCAGTGAATGCAATTTAAGCTTTGTTAATCTTTCTTCATACGAAAGATTTCTAATTTGGGGGAATTAACTTAGTCATCCTACGCTGGACACGTTCAAGTGAATTTATATCCATTCTATAATATGGCGACCAAAACTGAACTGCATAATCTAAATGGGGCCTAACCAGAGCAAGATATAGCTTGAGAACCACACCAGGTGTTGTTCTGTTCTAACACATGCAACAGCAAAAGTTAGAACATCATTCAGAAACCTAAGTAAGGAGGCATTTAGGGCACTTTACACTGCCTACGTGAGGCCAGTCTTAGAGTATGCCGCCTCATCATGGAGTCCCCATCTGAAGAAGCATATAATGAAACTGGAAAAGGTTCAGAGGTTTGCAACGAGACTCGTCCCAGAGCTACGAGGGATGGGGTATGAGGAGAGCCTGAGGGAACTGTGCCTTACGACACTAGAAAGAAGAAGGGAGAGGGGGGGACATGATAGGAACATATAAGATACTCAGAGGGATTGACAGAGTGGACATAGACGAAATGTTCACACGGAATAGTAACAGAACGAGGGGACATGGATGGAAGCTTGAAACTCAGATGAGTCACAGAGATGTTAGGAAGTTTTCTTTTAGCGTGAGAGTAGTGGGAAAATGGAATGCACTTCAGGAACAGGTTGTGGAAGCAAATACTATTCATAATTTTAAAACCAGGTATGATAGGGAAATGGGACAGGAGTCATTGCTGTAAACAACCGATGCTCGAAAGGCGGGATCCAAGAACCGAAGCTCGATCCTGCAAGCACAAATAGGTGAGTACACACACACAAACAACACCCCAAAAAAACAAACACACACACACGCAACACCCCCCCCCACACACACACACATGCAACACCCCCCCCCCCCCCCCCCACACACACACACATAATAGTTGACATAATAGCACTAGAGATCTGCCATGAGGATGATAAACCAATGATAATAAATGCATATAGTCCATCGCTAAGCAGCACATGGTCAAAGGAGGAGCTAGATAGTAAACGTGAAGGTCTTATAACAATAATGAGAGAGATTATAGCGAGAGCGGATAACGATAGATCACGACTGTTGATAGTCGGTGACTTCAACTTGAAATCCATAGACTGGGACGCATGTGAAGCTAAAACAGAAGATTTTTGGACCTGTAAATTTGTAGACCTCATCCTGGAAACATTCTTGTATCAACATGTTAAACAAGCTACGAGGATGAGGGAAGGGGACGTTCCCTCCAAGCTAGATTTGATATTTACCAGGAAGGAGGAAGAGATATTTGACATTCAGTACCTTCCTCCCTTGGGTAAAAGTGACCATGTCTTTTTGGGAATAAAGTATGCAATGCGTTATAAGCTGGAAGAAAATAAGGAGGTTGAAGCAGTTGAAAAACCAGACTTCAGGAGAGGACATTATGGTGACCTTAGAAATTTTTTTAGTGAGTATAATTGGACAGACTTGATGCTAGGCAAGGAAGTGAATGAGATGTATGTCAAGTTTTGTGAAATATATGATAAAGGCACAAAAAAATTTATACCAAAACAGAGATGCAGAACTAGGAAACAGGATTGGTTCAATAGAAATTGCGAGAGGGCTAGAGACCAAAAGACACAAAAATGGAATCAATACAGGAAGAGGCCGAACCCCCAAACATACCAGCGATACAAAGATGCGAGAAACAACTACACGGCAGTGAGGAGAGAGGCAGAAAGAAATTTTGAAAAAGGGATTGCAGACAAATGTAAAACAGAACCAGGTCTATTCTATAAATTCATAAACAACAAATTGCAGGTAAAGGATAATATTCAGAGGTTGAAAATGGGAAATAGATTCACGGAAAATGAAAAGGAAATGTGTGAAACATTAAACGAAAAGTTCCAAAGTGTGTTTGTACAAAATGAAATCTTCAGGGAACCAGATACAATAAGAATTCCAGAGAACAACATAGAGCACATAGAGGTGACTAGAGACGAAGTGGAAAAAATGCTCAAGGAGCTCGGTAAGAACAAAGCAGCTGGCGCAGATGGCGTTTCACCATGGGTTCTGAGAGAATGTGCACCTGAGCTCAGCATTCCACTTCACCTGATCTTTCAGGCATCCCTGTATACAGGAATCGTAGCAGACGTGTGGAAACAGGCTAACATAGTTCCAATCTACAAAAGTGGCAGCAGGGAAGACCCCCTCAATTATAGACCTGTATCATTGACAAGTGTAATAGTGAAAGTATTGGAAAAACTAATCAAAACTAAATGGGTAGAACACCTGGAGAGAAATGATATAATATCAGACAGACAGTATGGTTTTCGATCTGGAAGATCCTGTGTATCAAATTTACTCAGTTTCTATGATCGAGCCACAGAGATATTACAGGAAAGAGATGGTTGGGTTGACTGCATCTATCTGGACCTAAAAAAGGCTTTCGACAGAGTTCCACATAAGAGGTTGTTCTGGAAACTGGAAAATATTGGAGGAGTGACAGGTAAGCTTCTATCATGGATGAAAAATTTCTGACTGATAGAAAAATGAGGGCAGTAATCAGAGGCAATGTATCGGAATGGAGAAATGTCACAAGTGGAGTACCACAGGGTTCAGTTCTTGCACCAGTGATGTTTATTGTGTACATAAATGATCTACCAGTTGGTATACAGAATTATATGAACATGTTTGCTGATGATGCTAAGATAATAGGAAGGATAAGAAATTTAGATGACTGTCATGCCCTTCAAGAAGACCTGGACAAAATAAGTATATGGAGCACCACCTGGCAAATGAAATTTAATGTTAATAAATGTCATGTTATGGAATGTGGAATAGGAGAACATAGACCCCACACAACCTATATATTATGTGAGAAATCTTTAAAGAATTCTGATAAAGAAAGAGATCTAGGAGTGGTTCTAGATAGAAAACTATCACCTGAGGACCACATAAAGAATATTGTGCAAGGAGCCTATGCGATGCTTTCTAACTTCAGAATTGCTTTTAAATACATGGATGGCGATATACTATAGAAATTGTTCACGACTTTTGTTAGGCCAAAGCTAGAATATGCAGCTGTTGTGTAGTGCCCATATCTTAAGAAGCACATCAACAAACTGGAAAAGGTGCAAAGACATGCTACTAAGTGGCTCCCAGAACTGAAGGGCAAGAGCTACGAGGAGAGGTTAGAGGCATTAAATATGCCAAAACTAGAAGACAGAAGAAAAAGAGGTGATATGATCACTACATACAAAATAGTAACAGGAATTGATAAAATCGACAGGGAAGACTTCCTGAGACCTGGAACTTTAAGAACAAGAGGTCATAGATATAAACTAGCTAAACACAGATGCCGAAGAAATATAAGAAAATTCACTGTTACAAACAGAGTGGTAGATGGTTGGAACAAGTTAGGTGAGAAGGTGGTGGAGGCCAAGACCGTCAGTAGTTTCATAGCGTTATATGACAAAGAGTGCTGGGAAGACGGGACACCAAAGGAAACCAAACCAAAGGAAACAGAGTTAGTATAAATGGAATCAAGTCAGAGTGGGAAAATGTTGTAAGTGGAGTGCCTCAAGGCTCTGTCCTGGGACCTCTGTTGTTTATAATATATATAAATGATTTAGATTCAGGTTTGAGTAGCAACATTTGCAAATTTGCCGATGATACGAAAATCGGTAGGGAAATTAATTCGGAGGAGGACTCACTATCACTTCAAGTTGATCTAGATAGGGTTTTGAAATGGTCAAAGGATTGGCAGATGCAGTTTAATGCTGATAAATGTAAAGTTCTGAGGTTAGGTAATGATGATAGAGTTACAAGATACGAGCTAGATGGTGTTGTGATTGCGAAGTCGGATTGCGAAAGGGATCTGGGAGTTATGATTAGTAAGAATTTAAAACAAAAGGATCAATGCATAAATGTTCGTAATAAGGCAAATCGGACACTTGGATTTATTAATCGCAGCGTTAGTAACAAGACACCTGGTGTGGTTCTCAAGCTATATCTTGCTCTAGTTAGGCCCCATTTAGATTATGCAGTTCAGTTTTGGTCGCCATATTATAGAATGGATATAAATTCACTTGAACGTGTCCAGCGTAGGATGACTAAGTTAATTCCCCAAATTAGAAATCTTTCATATGAAGAAAGATTAACAAAGCTTAAGTTGCATTCACTGGAAAGGCGAAGAGTTAGGGGTGACATGATAGAGGTTTACAAGTGGATGAATGGACATAACCGGGGGGATATTGGTAGGGTATTAAAAGTATCAACACAGGACAGAACACGAAACAATGGGTATAAATTGGATAAGTTTAGATTTAGGAAAGACTTGGGTAAATACTGGTTCAGTAACAGGGTTGTTGATTTGTGGAACCAATTGCCGCGTAACATTGTGGAGGTGGGGTCCCTCGATTGTTTCAAGCACGGGTTGGACAAGTATATGAGTGGGATTGGGTGGTTATAGAATAGGAGCTGCCTCGTATGGGCCAATAGGCCTTCTGCAGTTACCTTTGTTCTTATGTTCTTACACCACGAGCGTAGCTCTCATCCTGTAACTACACTTAGGTAATTACACACCTGGGAACTTGTAGGAGGACAGGTGACACAGTTTACAGTCCTTGTGGTGACATACAGGTGTGTTGTGAGAGGTAAACATGTGTGAGGGCGACGACACGTGCTCGGGGCTCAGCTGCTGGGCCAAAACAAACATGTGTGGAGGCAAACACCCGCTGGCCATTGTTTCTCACATGTCACCGTTTATTTATCCACTTTTCTTGTTCATTTGAGGGAAATTATGGACTAAAAAAATATTATTTGTGGTTTAAAGTTGTTAGTTGTTTGTTAATTGAGTGTTTTTTTGTAGACAGAGTTGTGGGAATTTGTTTGTGAAGCGACGACAGCCAGCGAGTGTTCTGAGGAACAAGCAACAAACACTCTCCGGCGACCACTCTCATTACCCACCATTATAAAGCTCAAGATAAATGTGCCTGAATTTACCTGAAGGGGGCCATTAATAGTCTAGATCAGGAAGCCGGCGGCTTGTCAAAAGTTCCTCCATTTGTCTCAATGGATTTTTCCAGTTGGATTTTAACATTTATCAGAGTTTTGGTATTTACGGATTCGGCGGGTAGGCTGTTCCGTTGGTTTATAACTCTGTAAGTGAAAAAGTATCTCCTGCTTTGAGTCCTACATTTTTTTATTTATATATACAAGAGTTGTTACATTTTTGTACAGCCACTAGTACGCGTAGCGTTTCGGGCAAGTCCTTAATCCTAAGTTCCCTGGAATAAAGCCCAGTGGCTTTAGGCATTGTATGTACCAGCTCTATCTATAAACCTAGCATTTTTTTTTAAATCTCTTGTATGTATGTACCTTACCTGAATAAACATTTATTTTATTTATTTATTTATATGACATTGTGGCTTGTTGAGCTTGAAACCATTGCTCCTTGTTTGTGTTACATCTGACCTTATGAAGAAGTTGTCTGGATCAGGGGAGGAAAGTATCAAGAGAAAGCACCAAGCCACCATAACTATATAGCCCTGGGAAGGGGGTCAGGATAAGGATTTGGGATGGGACGGTGGGAAAGGAATGGTGCCCAACCACTTGGACAGTCGGCCCCACTTATCGCATTTCTTCAGTCAGATTCATTCCCATTTAGCATGACTCTTTGTTTTCTTGGTTTTAACTATTTTTTTCCATTCTAGTATTTACCATTTATTCCAGGAACTTGTAATATCCTTGTCAGTCTTCCATGTGGTACCTTATCAAAAGCTTTAGCAAAATCCATGTACAGTACAGTACTGTATACTACAGAACTTCCATCAGAAGTCCTTTGTCTGAGTAGCTGGTTACCGTTTCCAGATTCACGAAGCAGTTACGCAAGCACTTACGAACGTGAACATCTCTCCTCAATCTTTGATGGCTTTGGTTACATTTATTAAACAGTTTACAAGCATGAAAACTTGCCAATCAACTGTTGTTATTGTTATAAACAGCCTCCTGGTGCTTCGGAGCTCATTAACTGTTTAATAATTGTAAACAAAGCCGCCAGAGATTGAGAAAAGATGGACAGGGTCATAAGTGCTTGCGTAATTGCTTCGTGAATCTGATTTCAGGTTGGTAAAGCAGGATCTATTTTTTAACAAATCAATGTTGTGTCAATTGTACAAGATTGTACACTGAAAGATGGTGAATGATTCCCTCCCTGAGGACTCTCTCCATAAGCTTGCAGATGTTGAATTTGCTTTGAATTTGAATTTTGAATGTGTGATGTCAAGCTGATTGGCCGGTGGTTTTCTGCTGAGCTCTTTCTGCTTTTTTTTTTTTTAAATAAGAGTAACTTTTGCATATTTCCAGTCTAGGGGGAACTATCCATGGTTCATAGAATTTCTGAAAAGGAGTTTCATTGGTAGGTATATTCCTCTACACTTTCCTTTATGACTTTGGATTGAGTTCCATCCACATCTGGGGCTTTTGAATCTTAATTTGTTAATTCCCTTCCTGATTAAGTCACAGTCACATGTTACGGTATATCCCGATTTGTTCTATGTATATAAAATCCCTTAATTCATTTTATGTATATAATATCCCTTAATTCGTTAATCGCTTGGTCTGGAATTGTTCCGACAAGGTTAGCACCAATTAATGAAAAGAAGCTATTCAATTCAGTTGCTATTTCCAAGTCTGTTGCGGGTGTGTAACCATTTTTAGATAGTTTATATCTGCTTGTTTAGATTATAGGTTGTTAGAGATGACTTTTCATATTATTTTTTGCTTCTTTGAATCTACTTTCATTAACGGAATATTTAACTCTTATGCTGGTGAGCATTGATGAGTATCTTTTTAACAACTTCTTTTGTAACTAGGCCAATCTTATATTTTTTCATATTAGAGTTTCTTGAAAATTGTTTTAAGTATGCAACTTGTGTGTATTCACCTAGTTGTGCTTGCAGGGGGTTGAGCTCTGCTTTTTTGGCCCGCCTCTCAACTGTTAATTAACCGTTTTTTCACACACACACCCAGGAAGCAGCCCATAACAGCTGTCTAACTCCCGGGTACCTATTTACTGCTAGGTAACAGGAGCATGAGGGTGAAAGAAACTCTGCCCATTTGTTTCCGCCTCCGCCGGGGATCGAACCCGGACCCTTAGGACTACGAACACTAAGCGCTGTCCACTCAGTCGTCAGGCCCCCTTGTGAGTGGACTAGCTCAATCAACTGCCCCTTCCCGAATACTCCAGTATCAACATGTTTACACAGAGGAGGAGGATGGTACCAAAGAAGATGACTTCTAGCTCTTGTTAGCTGGCTCAGAGCTTTCCCCTTCTCACAGCCCATCTTTATTCTCATCCTACTCGTCTGACAGCTGGGAGGACAGCGCTTCAGATTCATAGTCCCGAGGTTCCGGGTACAATCCCCGGTGGAGGCGGAGACAAATGGGCAAAATGTTTCTTTCACCCCTGATACCAAGCAGTAAATAGGTACCTGGGAGTTAGACAGCTGCTACGGGTTGCTTCCTGGGAGTCTGTAACAAAAAGGAGGCCTGGTCAAGGACCGGGCCGTGGGGATGCTAAGCCCCGAAATCATTTCAAGATAATCTGGAATATAATCTGTCAATTGGTTTACAACCAGGTCTCTATTACTGGGTTAACAGGGGTCAAAAACTAATGAACAAATCCACAAGGGCCGTGACGAGGGTTCGAACCTACGTCCGAGAGGATCCCAGACGCTGCCTTAATCGACTGAGCTACGACATGATTAAACGAACATGGTTATTTGTTGACCAGACCACACACTAGAAGGTGAAGGGACGACGACGTTTTGGTCTGTCCTGGACCATTCTCAAGTCGATTCCAGGACGGACCGAAACGTCGTCGTCCCTTCACCTTCTAGTGTGTGGTCTGGTCAACATTCTTCAGCCACATTATTGTGACTCATCGCCTGGTTATTTGTTCATTTGATGCATCACGCTATTGTGATTTCTGTGTTTCGAAAACTAAGATTCAGCACCCAATTGTGTCTGCCCATGTCTCCACCCTAGGCAAAGCTATGAACCTCTAGTTCATCATAGGTCTTGATGAATGTTCTAAAATAAAAAAAAAACAGATTTATCTTTAATGGCTTCTTATATTTGTGATGCATCATTAAATATGATATGTACAGCTGATTTTTAAATGCAAGAAAATATAAGTAATTATCAAAAGAATGCACCAAACTGGGAAGGCTATATTAAGAAAATATAAAACATCTTTTACTGAAAGCTTCCCGAACATCTTATATATACACACACATTATTGTGTTTTGAAATTTAATTTGATTTTCCATGTACATGTATCAACACACTAATATACTAAATCCTTAAGGTACTTTCATATCATTTATTACAGCGTCTCAAAAATCAACTGAGGTAAAAGCTTATACATAACAGAAAATGGATGATCTTTACCGATAAAATACCATGTCAACTTTATTTGCAAAGTACCTTAAAGCTAAATTCCTAAAGTAACACATTCTAAACCAAATAATATTTATAAATTAACAAATATATTATAAACCTATTTCAAAAAGGTAAGGTAATTATCAAAAGAAGGCACCAAACCGGGAAGGCTATGTAGCACCATCAAAGTGCGAAATAATCAGAGGGCGCTAAATATCACCAACCTATTTCAAAAACATTTTCCATAAATCTTAACTTTCAAGAAGATCTTTAATATCTTCCAACTCAAGTTGCTATTATCTTCCAAGGTGATGGTGTTTATTTCAGCAACTTGAGTTCAGTATACATACACTGGTATATTATCATACATACATACATACAAAAACTCCATTTGGATCTACATACTGTATATCTTTTAGAACTTAGGAAATTTCCTGGACCAATAATCCCTGACGTTTTATTCCGTATCTTTCTCAAGTGTTTATCAACGGAATGGTTTAAAGAATAGTCAAAACTTGTTTTCAAAATGTGCCCAGTTAAATTTGTGAAAAAAAATAATGAATTGAAGGTCACATATGTTGGGGGACAGGAAGCCAGAGTGTATTTATACACGTTAGGCTTTTATCCGGCCCCCATCCCCCAGGGTCGAATTACAGACCCTGCCCAGGATGCAACCCCACAACAAGCTGACTACCTCCTGAGTACCTACTTGCTGCTAGGTGAACAGAGGCATTAGGTGAAGCGAAGTGTGCCCAACTATCTGTGTCCCGCCCGGGATTCGAACCCGGAATTCTTGATTATGTCTCGAGAACGAACCCGACTATACTACCGGGACCCTTCTGTATCTGAGCTATCCTATACGTCGACCAGGAGGCCTGGTCGACGACCGGGCCGCGGGGTCGCTAAGCCCCGAAATCACCTCAAGGTAAGATACAGTATAATTTAATCATATAATAGTTCCAGCTGTTTTTTTAAACTTGACTTGAGCTGCGAGACCTGTTGGCGAGAGTGAGGCGTCATGGGTGCCAACGAAGGCCGCTCACAGTCACCGACTAACTGTGCAAATGGGGATTCTCCATTTTCTTCATTTACATCTCTAAATAGTTCCACCTTTGATACAGTAAATGATTCTTCAGCCTCAGGTTGCACCGGCATGTGTTGGAACAAGCGCTGAGCAGGCATACTGGCAGGAGTTCGTAGGAACCTAGGAGAAATTTTTGTTAAGCAATTATGAAATTAGACAATCAGCAAAATTATTGGAACAGACTTTGTGCCACTATATTTGAGTCTGTAAATGAAGCAAAATTAAAAGAGCAATACAGTACATGAAAATAGTGTCGAGAATAATAAAATATCACTTTGTGTGGTACCTTTATGGCTCCTTGAGCTTTAACCTTTAAAAGGCTCCAAACACTACATGCAATTACAATCTCTTCCAATCACAAAAATTTTGTTTTGATTACATTAACTATTTGTTTTTGGTCATATGCACCTATTTTCAGGATGATGTATGATTCTTAAACTGTACATATAGCAACAAAGGGATGGTGATGGAGCAAGGTGCAGGTTGAGAAATAATATAGCCAGATATCAACACCCCAAGGACCAAACTTCTGTTATCCAGCCACCAAAACCAATATCTCAAATCCATTGAAAATGCCACCAGCACATGCCAACAAACCATGGTACGTAGCACATTAATATCAGATATTAATGCTCTGTGGTTTCCACAAAACAAGCCACCAAATGCAAGGGTGGTAAACACAATAAGGATACTGTACAAGAAATGTGTTACCAAAGTGACAAGTTCGCCAAAGACTGCCGATACGTGATGCTACCGTGTTCAGTAATATAAGACTTAACACCGAGTGGTTCTCAAGGAAGGAGACAGTGAACGTAGCGTTGGCTGTTGCTGGTGACCAACCAGTATGCCATGCTCACAATCGCCCACATGAAAACTGAACCTATATGTTATTACAACAACGCTACACTGTAGTGTTGAAAGGATGGCTGGTATTACACTATAAACAAAACTATATACTGTAAATAAACAAAACTATATTTTGATAAGTGACATGCCTTTACAAATGAGTGTAATGACATGCTGGCCAGACACGAGTGCCCAGGTGTTCGGACACCTGGGGCCAGATTCACGAAGCAGCTACGCGAGTACTTACGAGCGTATACATCTTTCCTCAATCTTTGATGGCTTTGGTTACATTTATTAAACAGTTTATTAGCATGAAAACTTGTCAATCAACTGTTATTATTGATATAAACAGCCTTCTGGTGCTTCGGAGCTCATTAACTGTTTAATAATTGTTAACAAAGCCGCCAAACATTGAGAAAAGATGTACAGGTTTGTAAGTCCTTGTGTAACTGCTTCTTGAATCTGGTCCCTGGTGCAGCCTGTCACCATCAACAAATGCCAAATATTCATGCCATGCAGCTACCAAACTCCCTTCCCCATTTATGAATGAAAAATACTTTACACACGACTCACAACTGATGACGTTCAAACACTTCTCGAGCAGTACTCCACCGATGAACCTTAAAATAGCAACTCTGTAAATGCTTCACCCACATATTACAACTACAAATAATTGCCAATAGAACCTATACTCCTAACCTATGCCTATGCCAATATATAGTATTAATAATAATTAAAGTTTGAGAAAATTTTAATCTTGAATGAACAGCATGTTAAAATTGATGAATGCGTTTATGGGGTCGGCCGCTGGATGGAATGAACACAGCCTGAGGACGGGTTGCGTGATGCATGGCCATAAATCTGGTTATCAACGTATTTATTACATATTTTAATATGACTTCACTGTGGAATCATTTGATATATAAATGTCTTATAAATGTCTTCTTGCAATACCTGTACATACAATAGATTTTTTGGTAAAGGAACCATTTGCATTTTAAAATTCAATTTGAGCACAAATAACTGAAGTGAATGAATCCAAGAGATATAAATCTAAATACATAGATACATAAATACGGAAATCTTCAGGGAGTTTAATATACTGTACTAACAAAATCTTCTCCTTGAAATACAACAATATAAAATGCTTTACAAACCTGTTGTCATGCTTCACGTGGTTCCAATAAGAATTACTGTTGTTCAAGTTGGATGTTGTGTTCAAGCTGCTGCACTCTTCAGTGACACAATGTGGGTCCAAGACAGCAGCGACGTCGCTGCTGTCATCAATGTGTGTCCCTTCACTCTGCACCGAGGCCTCGGTACCAAGTACATTCTCGTTCACACCAGAATTATTCTGTATACAAAATATAAGAACATAAGAACAAAGGCAACTGCAGAAGGGCTATTGGCCCATACGAGGCAGCTCCTATCTATAACCATCCAATCCCACTCATATACATGTCCAACCCACACTTGAAATAATCGAGGGACCCCACATTCACCACGTTACGCGGTAATTGGTTCCACAAATAAACAACCCTGTTACCGAACCGGTATTTACCCAAGTCTTTCCTAAATCTAAATTTATCCAATTTATACCCATTGTTTGGTGTTCTGTCTTGTGTTGATCAATAACATTTTGTTTAAATTGTCTGGATTTGCTTATGTATAATGATAAAATAATAATAATGTATAATGATCACCTTGGAACTGATCATTATTATTATTATTATTATTATTCATTGAGAATAATCACAGTAACATGATGTATGAATGAGAAAATCCATAGGAGCCGTGATGAGGATTCGAACCTATGCAGTGGGTAGTGCCACACACACGCCCAAGACAACCAGGCCACAACATGGTCAAAAGAACCATGTCCCTTTGACCATGTTGTGACCCAATTGCCTGTGGTGTGCGCGTGGCACTACCCACCGCATAGGTTCGAATCCGCATCACGGCTCCTACAGATTTCTCATTATTATTATTATTCATATACACAAAGAAATCCCATTAACGTGATACATACATCAATGAGAAAATCAGCCGGAGCTCCAAGGTGACTCGGACCAGCGATCAAGAAATTCCCTGCCACTCAGCTTACCACTGTACCCCCACAACTTCTAGTATGTTATATAACCTGGGATTCCGCAGAAGCCACAGCAAGTGTGGAAGCTTCTACTGAAGCCAGTCCAAGTTTTACATATAACCCCCAAGCACTCCGGTGTAGGTAAAGCAGTTAATCCTCCGTACGCTCTAAGGTCATCATTTTTTACTTATACTGTAGTAAAGTTTAGAGTAAAAATCTATAAGTTTGGCACGCTGCCACACTGCCAGGTTTGAGGGGGTACGGTGCCACACCTCCGGGCTTGAGGGCATGCTGCCACACCCTCCAGCTCGTGGGGCACGCTACCACACTGCCAGGTTTGAGGGGGTACGGTGCCACACCTCCGGGCTTGAGGACATGCTGCCACACCCTCCAGCTCGTGGGGCACGCTACCACACTGCCAGGTTTGAGGGGTACGGTGCCACACCTCCGGGCTTGAGGGCACGCTGCCACACCCTCCAGCTCGTGGGGCACGCTACCACACTGCCAGGTTTGAGGGGTACGGTGCCACACCTCCGGGCTTGAGGGCACGCTGCCACACCCTCCAGCTCGTGGGGCACGCTACCACACTGCCAGGTTTGAGGGGTACGGTGCCACACCTCCGGGCTTGAGGGCAGGCTGCCACACCCTCCAGCTCGTGGGGCACGCTACCACACTGCCAGGTTTGAGGGGTACGGTGCCACACCTCCGGGCTTGAGGGCATGCTGGCAAACCACCAACTGGAGCTGCTCTACAAGGGTATTGGTTTCATAAGTGATCAAGACCAAATGGTATAAACAACCACAACCTTACGGGCTATTCATGCCCGTGCCACGTTTAGGGTGCCTTAATCTTTATCAATCAATCATTAACCACAACTCAATTTGCCTGGCATTTTTTTTTTTTTTGAGATGTATACAAGAGTTGTTACATTCTTGTACAGCCACTAGTACGCGTAGAGTTTCGGGCAGGTTGTAGCGATCCCCACCGCGAAGAATCGTCGTTACAACCAAGTACCCATTTTACCGTTGAGTTAAACAGAGGCTACAGTTAAGGATTTGCGCCCAGTAAATCCTCCCCGGCCAGGATACGAACCCATGACAAAGCGCTCGTGGAACGCCAGGCGAGTGTCTTACCACTATACCACGGAGACTGATAGATATAATCTTGTTCATCTTGTTCCATGGATATAACCCATAACACCAAAAAACTGTAATTGTACCAAAAGCTTGATCCATATTCATGAGAACAACGTAACAAAGAATTTAGCCTGAAAACTTACATGTTTATTTTAAATGTTTTTACACACGTAAACAAAAACATTTGTTACCATCGTACACAGACAAACAGGAATCATTGTAAAACAATAAAGCTGAACAAATACTGTCAATATGTACCAAAATCCACAGAGAAATGGGAAAGAGAGATGAACGTTTCGGCCGATCTGGGCCTTTGTCAACACCAACTTTGTAAACACCAGTGTTTAGTGATCGTCAATTGCACTGTCAATATGTACCAAAATCATTTAAAATGCTATAATTGCTCATTATTCCTTAATACAATAATACAGTACTCTACATAAATGCATTAATGTATGTCACAAAATCAAAATAACACAAAAATATATAACAATACACACCAAGAACCTCGATGTGGATGAATTCTCGTCTTCTGTGCAACGATTCCGGTTTTGTAGCAAACGCTGTAGTCTTCCCAGCGGAGATACCGAAATAAAAACACTTTTCATCTGTTAAAAAAAAAAAAAAAAAAAAAATTGCAAGAGTATCACTGCTGTCACAGCCTCAACACGAGACCCAACTTTCTACTAAAGGACGGATTAATACTTTATACTAAAGGACGGATAAATATTGGTCAAAATAAAGGGTTGTGTGTGTGTGTGTGCGTGTGTGTGTGTGCCTCTTTCTGGGGAATGCTTAATAGCTTTTCACACTTATGGAACTGACACACTAAGAGTCCGTGGCGCTCTCTGCCTTCCAACAGCACCTCCTCACTAAAGACTAATACTGCACAAAAGATGGAGAGACAAGTAGGAATAAGAGGAAAGGCACTAGACTGGGTACACAAGGTGTACTGGAGGTGAAGCTGGAGGAGGCAGAAGTCACACTGCAGCAAGCTCCTGGAAATATCGAATTACCTAAGTATTGGGAACTGGTTGAGGGCTACAGTGGTGTCCCAGGTTTCATAAAGGTTCTGGGAAGAGTAAAAGCAAATAAAATACAATAAACAAGTAAAACTGAGTGAAAATAGCCGAGTGGAAAAGTTTGTTTTGGTCTAGAACAAAATCAAAGATGGCCGCCGCCACCACCCCCACTGAGAAGGTAGACACACCATCAGATGATGGTTTCAAAGGATTCTCACCACAAGATATAAGGAAAGGAGGTGTTCTTGGCAGGTTAGAGATAATTGAGGACATGCAAAAGAAGTATGAAGAAAAAGTGCTTAAATCAGAAGAGGACAATGGAGCTCTTTGGAGTGAGCTTTGCACTCTAAAAGGGAGTATGCTGCAACAAGGTAAGATTATTACTGCATTAACAGACAAGGTAACAAATCAGGAGGAGCAAATCAAGGAACTAGTGAAAGAAAATGAGGCATGGCAAGTGAAGTGTGGTGACTTTGAAGAAATAAACAAGAAGATAGACTCATATGGTGAACAACTCCAAGCAAGCCTAAGGGCTAACATAGAGTTAGGTAAGGATCTTCAACTGGAAACTTCACTGACAACTCACATAGAGGAGGTGAATAAAGAACTAGAAAAGTATAAAGAAGAAATAAAAGCGACATATGCTGAAGTTGTAAAAGAGAAAGAGACTATCAAAGAAGTGTGTTCGGAAGTCAAAACCAGAAATGACCAACAAGAAGCAGAAATTAGGCAAGCAATTAGGAAAGAACTGGTTACCAACAGTAAACTGGTACAAAACACTGCAGATAGAACTAAGTCCATAATCATTTTTGGATGTTTAGAGAAGGAAATTTCATCTAGGGTGGACCGAGCGGCAGAAGAGATGAAAATCATAGAGAAAATAGTAGGTTTAGGAGAAGGCTCAAAGGAAAATGTCAGTGATTTTAGAAGAATAGGAAAATATGAGAAAGAAAAGAACCACCCCTTAAGGGTGACGTTTAATGGTGTGAAAAACATGATGGAAGTGCTAAGAAATGCCAGGAAACTGCAGAGTGATGAGGTTGGCAAATTTTGGTCAATAAGACAAGACCTCTCCAAGGAAGACAGAGAAAAGCTGAAAATGAACTTAATTGAGGCAAAACGTCTAAATGGGGATAGAAATGAAGAAGACAGAAATTCTTTTTTTTACAAAGTGACAGGGACTGGAAAGCTTGTGAAATGGTACATAAAAACAAAGCAACAAGATCAGTAGTGGAAGGGGGAGTAAAGAGCAAAGGAAAAGGGAACATGTTCCTGAAAATTGTATATACCAACATAGATGGAGTGAGGTCAAAAACTTTGGAGTTGCAAGATATAATCCAGCTTAGGGTCCCAGATATTGTTGCATTATCAGAAACGAAACTTGAAGGAAATATAATAAATGAAGTCATATTCCCAAGAGGCTACTCAGTTTGGAGACGTGACAGGAAAACTAGGAAGGGAGGAGGAGTGGCTGTACTGGTGAAAAAACACCTGAAGGTAAAAGAGTTAATATTTGAAAACCCTCGAGATATTGACATAATGGCATTGCAGGTCTGGAATCAGGATGATAACCTGATAATTGTAAATGCCTACAGCCCACCAGCAAGCAACACGTGGACAAAGGAAGAACTGGATGACAAACGAAAGGGCCTCATAATGGTCATGAGAGATATTATTGTACAAGCAGATAAAGATAAATCACGACTGTTGATACTGGGGGACTTCAACTTTAGAGCAATAGACTGGGAGGCCTATGAAGCAAGAACGGAGGACTTTTGGACATGCAGATTTGTGAACCTCATTCTGGAGACATTCTTGTATCAACACATAAAGCAAGCCACAAGAATGAGGGAAGGAGATGTACTGTCAGTACTGGATCTAGTATTCACCAGGAAAGAAGAAGAGATTTTTGACATCCAGTACCTTCCTCCCTTGGGAAAGAGTGATCACGTCCTGTTAGACATTAAATATGCTTTAAGATATCATCTAGAAGAATATGGGGACATTGAAACAGTTGATAAACTCGATTTAAAGAGAGGCAACTATGGGGAACTTCGAAATTTTTTTAATGAGTGTAATTGGACAGAATTGTTGGTAGGCAGGGAAGTAAATGAAATGTATGCCAAATTTTTAAAACTATACGAGGAAGGCACACAAACATTCATACCAAAGCAGAGATGCAGGACCAGAAAACAGGATTGGTTCGACAGAAATTGTGAGAGGGCAAGAGACCAAAAGACACAAAAATGGAATCAGTATAGGAAGAGGCCAAACCCCCAAACATACCAGCGATACAAAGATGCGAGAAACAACTATACAGCAGTAAGGAGAGAGGCAGAAAGAAATTTTGAAAAAGGGATAGCAGATAAATGTAAAACAGAACCGGGCCTATTCTACAAATTCATAAACAACAAATTGCAGGTAAAGGATAATATCCAGAGGTTGAAAATGGGAAACAGATTCACGGAAAATGAAAAGGAAATGTGTGAAACATTAAATGAAAAGTTCCAAAGTGTGTTTGTACAAAATGAAATCTTCAGAGAACCAGACACAATAAGAATTCCAGAGAACAACATAGAGCGGATAGAGGTGTCTAGAGATGAAGTGGAAAATATGCTAAAGGAGCTCGGGAGGAACAAAGCAGCTGGCCCAGATGGCGTTTCACCATGGGTTCTGAGAGAATGTGCATCTGAGCTCAGCATTCCACTTCACCTGATCTTTCAGGCATCCCTGGGTACAGGAATCGTAGCAGACGGGTGGAAACAGGCTAACATAGTTCCAATCTACAAAAGTGGCAGCAGGGAAGACCCCCTCAATTATAGACCTGTATCATTGACAAGTGTAATAGTGAAAGTATTGGAAAAGCTAATCAAAACTAAATGGGTAGAACACCTGGAGAGAAATGATATAATATCAGACAGACAGTATGGTTTTCGATCAGGAAGATCCTGTGTATCGAATTTACTCAGTTTCTATGATCGGGCCACAGAGATATTACAGGAAAGAGATGGCTGGGTTGACTGCATCTATCTGGACCTAAAAAAGGCTTTCGACAGAGTTCCACATAAGAGGTTGTTCTGGAAACTGGAAAATATTGGAGGGGTGACAGGTAAGCTTCTATCATGGATGAAAAATTTTCTGACTGATAGAAAAATGAGGGCAGTAATCAGAGGCAATGTATCGGAATGGAGAAATGTCACAAGTGGAGTACCACAGGGTTCAGTTCTTGCACCAGTGATGTTTATTGTGTACATAAATGATCTACCAGTTGGTATACAGAATTATATGAACATGTTTGCTGATGATGCTAAGATAATAGGAAGGATAAGAAATTTAGATGATTGTCATGCCCTTCAAGAAGACCTGGACAAAATAAGTATATGGAGCACCACCTGGCAAATGGAATTTAATGTTAATAAATGTCATGTTATGGAATGTGGAATAGGAGAACATAGACCCCATACAACCTATATATTATGTGAGAAATCTTTAAAGAATTCTGATAAAGAAAAAGATCTAGGGGTGGTTCTAGATAGAAAACTATCACCTGAGGACCACATAAAGAATATTGTGCAAGGAGCCTATGCGATGCTTTCTAACTTCAGAATTGCATTTAAATACATGGATGGCGATATACTAAAGAAATTGTTCATGACTTTTGTTAGGCCAAAGCTAGAATATGCAGTTGTTGTGTGGTGCCCATATCTTAAGAAGCACATCAACAAGCTGGAAAAGGTGCAAAGACATGCTACGAAGTGGCTCCCAGAACTGAAGGGCAAGAGCTACGAGGAGAGGTTGGAAGCATTAAACATGCCAAAACTAGAAGACAGAAGAAAAAGAGGTGATATGATCACTACGTACAAAATAGTAACAGGAATTGATAAAATCGACAGGGAAGGATTCCTGAGACCTGGCACTTCAAGAACAAGAGGTCATAGATTTAAACTAGCTAAACACAGATGCCGAAGAAATATAAGAAAATTCACCTTCGCAAATAGAGTGGTAGACTGTTGGAACAAGTTAAGTGAGAAGGTGGTGGAGGCCAAGACCGTCAGTAGTTTCAAAGCGTTATATGACAAAGAGTGCTGGGAAGATGGGACACCACGAGCGTAGCTCTCATCCTGTAACTACACTTAGGTAATTACAAGTACCCAGCCACAGGGGCCTGTGGCTAAGTGGACAGTGCTCTGGACTCGTAATCCTAGAGTTTGGGTTCAATCCCCTACAAGAGTATATGCATATAATGTCCAAAACTGCAGTGCGCCCCTCCCACAGCCAAGTCGAAAGCAGGCCAACTTTTATAATTCTTGATGCCATACTGCATTGTTACCACACATTTGTCTGCTAAATTTTTGACACCATACTGCATTGTTACCGCACATTCGTCGACTAAATTTTTGACGCCATACTGCGTAAATATGTGCGAGCAAAAGTGTTAAGTCACATTAACATTATTGTGATTTCATTCTACATTATTGCGGTGGAAGGCTCTTCCAAAACACGGGAATAATAATATATCAATTGACCTGCTTGATGGGGTTCTGGGAGTTGTTCTACGTTCTAAGCCCGGACCGAGGCCAGGCTTGACTTGTGAGACCAAGATTCGACCTTGGTGACTCTAAACCCCTTAAAGAAATCAGCTGCACTTTAAAGAGGTCTCACAACAAACGTTCACAAACACACAAGGTGTGGTAGATACAGAAGACGAGCAAGTTTCAGAGAGGAGGGAGAGTGCCATGGCTTATTCCAGCTCCAGGGTATTCATGCCCCTGTCGTCCCAGTTGAGGGCGAAGAGACACTTGCTGCAGTGCAAGACCTTATCTGCACACACACTGCTTATGTAAAACACACACAAATATATGTAGGTTAGCATTTTATAAGCACTACAGCCACCTTCTGTGGTTGACTGTTCAAGAAATCACTGAACTATATGCTTAACAGATCTCTAACCCTGGAAAGAGTTAGAGATTTGTGCCCTGGAGAGGCCACTCCAGACCGACAAACAGAGCGCAACTCGAGTCTCCTGTGATGGATGCCTACTACTAACCCTGTCCATGGAAGACAGAAGATAAATATATTCCGGTTACCGTTGAAAATGTGTGGCCACGTCTGTTGTAGAAAATAATAATAAAATAAAGAACTACTTTACACACAGAGATCATACTAACGTGATGCATCAAATGAAATCCTGGTTTGTAACTCGGAGAGGCTATGGGATCCAGTAAGTTCAGTAGAACTTCAGTTTCAACTCTTTTTAACCCTGTCGTAGTTCAGTCGATTAAAGCAGTGTCTGGGATGCTCCCGGACGCAGGTTCGAATCCTCGTCACGGCCCTTGTGGATTTGTTTATTTAAAAAACTACTTTCTCAAGTTTACAGAATAATGCATAATGAAAGACTGGACCTAAATAACAACATAGTTTGTAACATGTTGATTATCTCAACATACCATACAATAGCAAGACAAAAAATTAAAAATATTTACAGACGAGTGCCTGATGTCTCTTTATTATTTGGTAAGAAAGAGCAACAAAAGCAACATGCCTATACTTACAATCCCAGAGTCCTTCATTTTTTGGCGTCTTGCATGAGTTTGCTCCCATAATGCCTTGGCCTTTAAACTGATTTCATCTTGTTCCCTGGATAGATTTTCTAGTTCAGTCGAAAGCTGTTCGTCAAGACACGAGCCACGCACAAAACTTACGGTGGTATTGACTTCAGCATCGCGTGTGTCAACTTTATTGACGAAGCCCTTTTCAGCACCTTGGTGTTGATTGTCAGTATTGCCTGGAGGAGTTATTAGAATTTGGGGTATTTTTAAATCACATTCAACTTCAAAATGATGCTCAGGTGTTCCTATAATTATGGATGTGTTTACAGTCCGAGCTGTGCTACTTATGGCAGGCTTCTGGCATCTTTTTAGCGCTGATTTACCAATGACTTGCTGAGTTGCACTGTGCCTTGGTATTTTAGACATGCTTTGAGCCCTTGAGATTCTGTTAGCACTTTTGCGCGTTGGTGTTCGTACACACAATGTACCGACACTTCTTCTCGTCAGGCTTCTTCTTGCGGGTTTAAGTTCTTTAGCAAATGTCACCTTCTTGGCGGAGTTTTTTCCATGACTTTGCAATTTTTGTTCCTCTAATTCACTCTGTGTATTGACGTTTGCATTTAACACTTGCCGAGAAGTGCTGCGATTCAGAGGAGCAATGGTAGGTCTTAGCAGTCGTGTTTTTACCCTAGAACTCTCAGGGCGATCATCTTCCTCGCCAATTTTAATCAAGCGTTTCCTGTGAGCCGCACTTTTCAAGCCTGAACTTGTGTTAGGTAAGCACACAATGCTTTTCTTGATAACTGGCAGCTGGTTTTCCTTTAACTGGTGATGGGGCTGACATGGAGGTAGAAGTGATGAACCGGACTGGAAAGAAAAATAACCTAGTTGTTAGATTACAGTGAGAACCTGAGGTGCAAGATTACAAAACAGTACGCAAAGGTGAGGGATGACGAGGCAAGCTAAAACTTAGATTTAATATTAATAAATATATAGCTAACACTCATATGTTAATACAGAAACATTACACACCATCTCGGCAAAAACGTGAATATTACTCACAACCATATTAGTTATGTCCATCATGGCCAATGGTGCTGTGTGATCGTCGGAACCGTCACCTTCATCTCCACTTTCAAACTGGAGTGCACGACGACATTCCTGGATAAATTAAGAAAGAATTACTCATACACGCTGCCAGATAGTGGTAACCCAAATACACCGAATTTAGTAAACTCAGACCAATCTAATCTGAAGTGCTGGACACTATTACTGAACAAGAACAGGGAGACCAAACGAATATCTCATTACGGCAAGGTAATTATGAGGAAGTGCTAAGCCAGCATGACTATAGCTCTTGGTAGGAGTATGTGGATGGAAGAAATGAATGGTGCCCAACCACTTGAACCACCGGGAGTCACATGACACCCCTGCAAGAATCAACTCTGTCACTGACCAGCTCAACAAATAGCTAGGGAACACAACAGAAGTAATCAAAGCAGTAAAAACATTGAGTGGACAGATATGATGACTAAACTATCTCGAGAAGATGAAGAGACGACGACATTTCGGTCCGTCCTCGACCATTATCAAATCGATTGTGAATTGATAACAGTCCAGGACATAGTAATAGTCCTTGTTTCCATCTTCTGGCGTGTGGTTTGGTCATCATGTCTTCAGCCACATTATTGTTATCTTGAGGTTATCTTGAGATGATTTTGGGGCTTTTAGCGTCCCCGCGGCCCGGTCCTCGACCAGGCCTCCACCCCCAGGAAGCAGCCCGTGACAGCTGACTAATACCCAGGTACCTATTTTACTGCTAGGTAACAGGGGCATAGGGTAAAAGAAACTCTGCCCATTGTTCCTCGCCGGCGCCCGGGATCGAACCCGGGACCACAGGATCACAAGTCCAGCGTGCTGTCCGCTCGGCATCCCATTTTTCAATTGTGACTCATTGTCTGCACTGTGGAGATGCCAAACAGCCTGCCACCGTGGTCAGCAGTGGCAGCAGCACGCAGGGGCAGAGGCCAGGGCTTCTGCCACTCCCCTCACCTCTAATAACAGTAAACATGGTACTGTATCCGCTCCAGTTATGATTGATTAGTTCACCCTTCACCAAGATGAGATTGCCATATTGACCATAAGTTCCAGAAATTTAAGAATACCCTTGTGTGATTTTGATAGCTTTTCAACTCCCACAGCCCAGCTTGGCCCCTGATGAATTTGTCGTCATCGACAGTAGGCTCTGATATTCATTATAGCCAAGATGACTTGGTAACAGGCAAAAACTAGTCCATTTTTCTCTTGAAAGCTTCCATCTTTGTTTCACCAATATTTCTTATATTTTCTAGCAGGAGTTTAAAAGAGCCACAGACATTAATGTTCAAACTATTGTTTTTTAATAGTGATAATGGTACCCTACTTTTTATTGCATTTATTTTACACTTCCCACCATATCAAATATCTCGCTCCAATATGTTGTATATTTCAATTTTCGAGTTGTAACCTGACCATGCAGTATTTTTCATGTGTATTATATCTATTGCAGGTATATACAGTACATGGAGGTCTGGTCGAGGACCGGGTCGCAGGGACATTGAGCACCGAAATCATCGCAAGGTATTGTCTCATTTTCAAGGAGTATAACTTAAGGTCATCCTGTTTAAGTGCTAAACTGATCCAGTGGACTGTCAAGAATCTGGAAACATTTTCTAGACGATCCATAAGTAGCGAAGGACGGGAGGCTTTACACGGGGCTTGCGAAAAATGCTTGAATGAAAAGGCACTTCAACTCCCATGGAATGCAGCAGCCAACCTAGACAGCAGAGGCACAAAAAAAGCCAACAGGGGCAGCCAAATCACATTAAGTAAGACACAGGATGGACACCTCAAGTGCACCACCCAAAATAATGGAGCACCAGCCCCCTGGTAATTCTTCCCCCATATCATGTATTAGATGCATGATTTAACAAAAGTAAAAATATTTCGTGTGTGTTTGACGCTCACTGATATGTTCCAGCGTTGTTTTATATTTGGGGGCACATAGAACATTCTATTGCGAACACATTGACATAAAATGAATGACGTACATAGAAAATTAATGTCACCGATACCGGGTAACAATTTCACCACTTCCCACACTCTTGCGGGCGGGCTGCATCATTATTCTACGCTTATATTCATATCACCGTGTTGGGAATTTCATTGTGAGCCCAAGTGTGGAGGTGATTACAATCCCAAGAGTAAAAACATTTTGTTGCTGATGGGCGCTCACGGCGAGTGGGGTTCTTCTAGAGAATTTTATTGACCTAGGACACCAAAAAACGCAGCGCGCACATATCATGGGGGCCCAAAGCAATGGAGCACCAGCCCCATGATCTCAGGGCCCACAGCCCTGGGGGACCTAGGACACCAACATCATGGGTCCACAACAGACAAGCTAAAGGTCGGGTGGCCGCCTTCCCTCAACCCTGCGGTTCACTGGGTATTAACCAGGGGTGCAAGGATGCTGTGATCAAATGTGACTAGCTCTCATCTCTATGTTTCCTGCCCATTTGAAGGGACAACGCAAATATGAAGATGTTGGTCCCCAGTGAGCACCCAGCAACTACCGTGTCCACAGAGCCCTGTGAATGTCTGCTGTTACGGTTATCTCCTGCATAGCAGTAGATTCTGCCTGTTCCTCACGACCTCAGAATCAGCATGCTCCAACATCAAGATTCAACATCAAGAAACACCAACAATACATGACAAAACATATTGTCTAGACACACCTTCACCCCCCCACCCCTCTACCCTACCTTCCATGAAAGCCATGCACTTGCAGTCTTGCCAGACACCAGACGCCACCAGCAAATGACCATTACCCCTGCCGGTGCCTAGTAACTAGACCCAAATTTGCGTCAGTGTGATGTCACCACCGGTATAAACAGCCGGGTCGGCGTCACAATCCAGCAGATTACCCTTCTAGTGCTGATTGCTTCCGCATGTATCCTCACCTATGGGTGACGGGAGATACACATAGCATTTTGTATTCTTACTTATAGTAGAGGACTCAGTAAGTTTTATTTTAATTTATTTTCTCTTTTTTTTATTTTCTTAATATGTGTTTCACATAACACCTGCCAGAATAGTTACTGCTCTATTTCAGATCACATCACACTGCGCACAGGACTTATGAAGATATTGGGTAGCTGCCCTGAAGAAACTTGTACACCAGCCATATATATATATACAGTGGTACCTCGCATAACGATTGCCCCAAAAGACGAATATTTTGGGTAACGAACGGCCCGATCGGCGTCAAATCGTCCCGTATGACGAACGCTGGTTATGTTGTTCTTGTTTAAAGATGCTAATGATGCTGGGATATAAAAGGGTGACTGCTGAGATGTTGCAAAGCATTGACGTTTTTGTAGGAAAAAAGAATTGAAATATCTGATATACAACAAATGTCAAAAAAGTTCGTTCGGTGTTCGGCAGGTAGGCTGCTCCATTATAACAATCTTTCTTTGTTTCAAATGTGTTCCATTTGTTTTTTATTTGTCATTTACGTCTCAATAATGGAGAAGCCTACCTTACATACACTGAATAAACCATTATGACATTTTCCTTTCTTCAAATGTGTTCAATATTTATTTTTCATTTGTCTTATAGCAAAAGGTTCGTTCGGTGGTCGGCAGGTAGGCTGCTCCATGTTTCTTACATACAAAAAACGTAAATAATTATAACGAATATGAAAGACAAGGGCTGCTGGCTGGGTTAGTAGTGCGTGAGCAACCATTTGTAGCACACGTGCCTCTGGCTCTCAAACACCTGTCCCACACGGTGTTGAAAGACTGTACTCAGTCAGTGCAATTCAGACCCTATTGTTTGAAGAACATAAGGGTCATAACATTGGTGAAGCTAGGCGCAATAAGGGCTTAACACAATGGTCGGATGCCTGTGATACAGCACCTATGAGGATGATACAGCGAGCGTATCCAGGTGTAGCTCTGAGCCCCACCCTTGCCATCTCTAATGTATATAGATGATACATAGATGAATCGTTTTCTGCGTTCAGTGATGATGCATCTGATACAAGTAGCATAGATGAACAGTGTTAGCAGCTTCCATGGTGGTGGTGTTCATTGATATTTTTAAGAATACCTAAATCTTTTCCTGACTGATGGACACTCTTTGAGGCTAGCTGAATCTCTTCCTGACTGATGGACACTCTTTGAGGCTAGCTGAATCTCTTCCTGTGTGGGACCTTACAAAGCGATCTTTTCAAGACTACCTTACAAATTGAGCTTTTCCTATAATCGTTTCAATACTACCTTATGCTTTACAAGCTTGGCTACATACCACCTACAAGTACTAAAGCCAAGGGTGCACGCAAGTGCGTTATTTGCAAGCACACAGAACGATGAAACAGGAAACAAAAATCTATCTGTAGCTGGTGCAAGGAGAGCAAAGTCGCGCTGTGTACCATGGACTACTTCGTTGACTATTACGCACCTCCAAAGTACTGAGTGTGTAATACAGTGTGTTACTGTGTAAATAGTATGTGAAACTGTACATATTGTAATATTAGTGAATTTTTACCACGTAATATTGTGACAATAAACATTTATTGTGGACACATTACTGACACATGTATCACAGTTTCATGGAAAATTATGAACATTCTACTGTATACATATTGTAAAGGTCACAAATATGCATCATATACGATAAAAGAAACAAATAAAACCACATTGGAAATGCATAGGAAAAATATTTGAAAATATATTTGTGGCAACACGCAGTGCTTGAATGGCCTGCGCGACCGTGTCTGGGAGCTTCACACACGGGCGACCAGGCCCTGATGACGTCACAGCGCACCTTGTCCACGCCCTCACACCCAAAGTAAGTGGAATTTGGTAATTATCTTTACATAGACATGTTCAGGGACGGTAATTTATCATTTTACAAAGAAAAATTATATTTTGGGGAACATTTGATGTCATGCACACTAGGGAAATTTCACAATAAACACAGTGCATCACACTGGTTACATGGGAGACACTCGTTTTGTATGACGTCCGTTTCGCATGACGAACATGGAACGGATTAAATTCGTTATGCGAGGTACCACTGTATTTTCACAAAATTAAAAATGGATTTTAGAACTAACTTTCCGATATTATACAGGTTATCTTGAGGTTATCTCAAGACGATTTCGGAGCTTAGCGTCCCCGCGACCCGGTCTTCGACCAGGCCTCCACCCCCAGGAAGCAGCCCGTGACAGCTGACTAACACCCAGGTACCTATTTACTGCTAGGTAACAGGGGCATAGGGTGAAAGAAACTCTGCCCATTGTTTCTTGCCAGCACCCGGGATTGAACCCGGGACCACAGGATCACACGTCCAGTGTTCTGTCCGCTCAGCCACCGGCTCCCTTTCCAGTACTGCATAGTTATCAAACAGAGAAGATTATAACACATATTTTCCCGAGACTCTTCATCTCATCAAAAGTATAAGTACAGTAACTATTTTGCAAGCCTAAATGCATGAAGAAATCTAGGATTACCTGTGATGGAAGCTTAATTGCATTTTTCCGAGTCTCGGTATCCTTTTTGTGGTAGCTGTTAGCACCTCTTGAGTGGGCAGCATCCAAACGTCTACTGGCAGAATTGGAACTTTTCGAATACCTAAGTTTATCTGAAAAAGAGTAACTTGTAAACCACACAATTTAATCTCAAGTACTATATATGTATATAAACAAAAATTGTCTCCATGAGGCACATGTTTCATTTTCTGTAAGAATTTCTATCAATCAATATTAATTTGATTCATTCCTTAAAATTTCTCTCCTATAAATAACTAGCTTCAAGCAACTTGTCAGTCACTTGGAACCACCTTTAAGTGTTAAATAAGTGATGAATTACAGTACATATATTAGTTAAGCAGCCATGACTTGCATTTAAGTGAAACCTATGAATGTGAGGCAAGATTAAGTTTCGTAAAGGCAAGCATTTATCACAAATTTGTAAAGTTATAATGATAAAATGAGCAGAGACTAAAGTATATGGCCAGTGTGATCAAAACTAGTCTATCAAACTTAATAGTTGGAAGGGAAACATTTATATCCGAGTGTGGGATACTCGACAGCACCATACCGGCAAGTGTGGTACATGTTTATCTACAGTACTGTACCAGTAATGTCAGGAATGTATGGAAACCAGATTTATCTGCTAAGGTCATTCAATCAAAAAGGTCTTGTAGTCCAGTTGGCTTCATCTCAACTCGCAGTCGGAGATCCCCAGGTTATATTCCAGGGCGGAGGAGTAATGGTTAGGCACGTTTCCTTTCACCTAATGCCTCTGTTTACCCAGCAGTAAATAGGTACCCAGGAGTTAGGCAAATGTTCTGGGGATGTATACTGAGGAAGGTCAGTTAGTTGAACCTTGGGAGGGGGGGAGGGGGGGGGGAGCTAAAAACAAGCCTCACATATAAATATATATATACAGGCTGCCTGTTCCTGCCAAAACATTATTATTGTTCTTAAACAAATCCACAGGAGCCTTGATGAGGGTTTCGAACCTATGCGCCGAGGGTTCTCAGACGCGCTCTAGTCGAAAGTACCACGACACTCGGCACGTAGGTTCGAGCCATCATCACGGCTCCTGTGGATTTGTTCATTGATATATCACATTAATGCGATTTCTCTGTGTATTATTGTTATATTAAAGGATAGTTTCCAGGAGGCCCTGATGATGAGGTATGATATAGATATGCCAGTACTGAGAGGCAGGCAGGCAGGCAGGCAGGCAGGCAGGCAGGCAGGCAGGCAGGCAGGCAGGCAGGCAGGCAGGCAGGCAGGCAGGCAGGCAGGTAGGCTGACACAGTCAGGTAGGTAAACAAGACACTTGGTCACTTTACTTAAAAAAAGTATTATATATTTATAGAACACTGTACTGTACCTCTCATTATAAAAAATGACGGTGAAAATCCCAAAGGAGTGAGCTTCTTAGAAGAATTGATTTTGAACTCGTTACTTTGACTGGAGGCAGTCTCTTGAAGAGCAAGATGTCGTTGCCTTCGTTCTCGTTCAAGAATTTCCCGTATTTGTTTAAAACTTTCCACTTCTGTAAAATATACAATAAAAGACCATTAAACAAGACAATTTGCAAGCTAAAATGAACAGAGATCAAAGACATGAAACAAATACAGTATGCACTTTCTAGTTGAATTAGGCCCGACTTGAGAAATATGAAAAATACTGATTATTTTGTTATATATAACAGCGTGACATTGAAAATCACAACAAATTCACGTAGAACTTTTACTGGATTTAAAAGATTTTTTTTTTTTTTTTGGGGGGGGGGGGCTATTTATCACAAAATGTTTGAGACTTTCTTAAATTAAATAACAAAACACATCTTTGAGCATATTTAGGCATCAAAACTTGTATATTAACCTAACCAATGATTATATATAATAATAATAATGTAAATATAAGAACTATACTTTACTTCCATTACAGAATATAATCCTTATTCTCATTAAGGATAGTACAGTACAGTACCTGTAAACTGCTTGATCAAATTCATAAAAATATAAATCCTTGATAATTTTCCTCTCGACCTTTGCAGCCAAGACTCTCACCCGAGGCAAACTGTGCCAGTGCCACACCAGGCTCGTCTGCCCCCAGCCTGCGCGCTTCCTTGCCGTCACAGTCAGAGCCATGAAAAATAGAGGGGTTTGAACACCGAGACAGAAAGGCCAGAACCAAGCCTCAGCCAGCCATCAAGGATCCAGATGGATTGTCCTGCCAGCATTTGTCACCAGTTGGGAGCCGGCCGACCGAGCGGACAGCACGCTGGACATGTGATCCTGTGATCCCGGGCAGAGTTTCTTTCACCCTATGCCCCTGTTACCTAGCAGTAAATAGGTACCTGGGAGTTAGTCAGCTGTCACGGGCTGCTTCCTGGGGGTGGAGGCCTGGTCGAGGACCGGGCCGCGGGGATACTAAAGCCCCGAAATCAACTCAAGATAACCTCAAGAAGCAGCCTGGAAAGAACTCCAGTCCAGAGACAAAGTATTCCATGCAAAAGACTTGTGATCCGGGAATGGATCCACAAACCCAAAGCGTCCGGTTCCACACTGACACAGACGTCCACCTACATGCAACCGAGTGTCTCGCAAAGCCAACAGAAAAACACACTGATTACATGGATAGTGAAATTGGAATCCCTAATTATAATTTATAAATCTGTGGTAGAATAAATGTGTCAAATAAAGGAGTAGGTATGTATATTAAAGAGGATTGTGAGCCTATAGTGGATATGTGGGCCTGCGGGCTGCTCCAAGCAACAGCCTGTTGGACCAAGTTATCACAAGTCGAGTCTGGCTTTAGGCTAGGTTTGGGGAGTAGAAGAACTCTTGATACCTTCTTCGGGTATGCTCCAGGTATACACACAGTTTTTAAATTCTACAAAATAGGTGGTAGAGTATTTTGAATCAAAGTGGAGAAAACAAACCTTGTTATTATTCTAATATACAAACTGCCAGATGCAATGGCTGAGGAAGTCTCAGAACAGATAAACAAAATAGAGAATTGTTCCAATAATCTAGAAAACCTGGTGCCAAATATTATCTTTTTTGGACACTTCAATCTACCCCCAGTTTAAGATGGAGAATATCAAACAATAACGTTATGACAAGAAATCAACTTGTTAATGAAGCATAAAGTGTCAACAGCACAAACACTCAAGAGATCTTTGGAGAAAAAGCTTGAACACAGGGAAGATACCAAAGTAGTTTAATAAGCTGATATAGCTCCACAAGGGAGTGATCAAAGCATAGACTCAAAATAATAGACCAGATGTCCCGGTATACAGGTCCAGACACACTATCCTCCTGTCAGTAGGCAAGGGCAAGCAGACCTGCCTACCCTTGCAGGCATAGGAGGGTGCAGAACTGCCCTTCTGCGGTTCATCTCCATAGTGAGTTGATCTTTGAGTGCCACAAGCTCCTCAGCCACAAGGAGGGAGCAAGCAAAGATGGTGCTTGTCCCCAGCAAGCCCAGTTAGTTATTGCGAGCCTGGCCTTAGCAGTCATCTTATAAGATAATACATAATGGTTAATTTATTATTAACAAATATTTATTATTATTACCAGTAGTAAGTATGGTTAATTCAAGTTTTAATTATCCATAAAATACAGTATTTGTAAACATCTTGCCTAACAAGAACTGGTAACTTACTCTCTGGTGGGATCTATAAACAACTCGCCTAACGAGAACTGGCAACTTACTCTCTGGTGGGATCTGTAAACATCTCGCCTAACAAGAACTGGTAACTTACTCTCTGGTGGGATCTATAAACAACTCGCCTAACGAGAACTGGCAACTTACTCTCTGGTGGGATCTGTAAACAACTCGCCTAACAAGAACTGGTAACTTACTCTCTGGTGGGATCTATAAACTACTCGCCTAACGAGAACTGGCAACTTACTCTCTGGTGGGATCTGTAAACATCTCGCCTAACAAGAACTGGTAACTTACTCTCTGGTGGGATCTGTAAACAACTCGCCTAACAAGAACTGGTAACTTACTCTCTGGTGGGATCTATAAACAACTCGCCTAACGAGAACTGGCAACTTACTCTCTGGTGGGATCTGTAAACAACTCGCCTAACAAGAACTGGTAACTTACTCTCTGGTGGGATCTGTAAACAACTCGCCTAACGAGAACTGGTAACTTACTCTCTGGTGGGATCTGTAAACAACTCGCCTAACGAGAACTGGCAACTTACTCTCTGGCGGGATCTGTAAACAACTCGCCTAACGAGAACTGGCAACTTACTCTCTGGCGGGATCTGTAAACAACTCGCCTAACGAGAACTGGCAACTTACTCTCTGGCGGGATCTGTAAACAACTCGCCTAACGAGAACTGGCAACTTACTCTCTGGCGGGATCTGTAAACAACTCGCCTAACGAGAACTGGTAACTTACTCTCTGGCGGGATCTGTAAACAACTCGCCTAACGAGAACTGGCAACTTACTCTCTGGCGGGATCTGTAAACAACTCGCCTAACGAGAACTGGTAACTTACTCTCTGGCGGGATCTGTAAACAACTCGCCTAACGAGAACTGGTAACTTACTCTCTGGCGGGATCTGTAAACAACTCGCCTAACGAGAACTGGTAACTTACTCTCTGGCGGGATCTGTAAACAACTCGCCTAACGAGAACTGGCAACTTACTCTCTGGCGGGATCTGTAAACAACTCGCCTAACGAGAACTGGCAACTTACTCTCTGGCGGGATAATCTTGCCAAAACATTTAAATGGTTGGCCATCTTTAGATTTGCTTGTCGACATTTGCATTTGTTGATCCATCTGAAATCCAAGAATATATATATATAAACTTAAAGGTCAGCAGGACAAGTTTGCACAAACACCTACAATAATACATGGAAATAAACATATTTGTGGTAAACAAACTGTGATGAACAGTTTGTTCATACACCTGGAACATGGTGTATGATACGTTCATACATTTGGAACATACACCACCTTGTATGGTGAAGCATGAATGGTGTTGGCATCGTAAACTGCTTTCAACCCCAAAATGCAAAACCATACAACCGCAAAATTTTGGCAACTATTTTTATTTCAAACAGGAATAAAGTTTCCTTATAAATTTCCCATGAAATACTAGCCACATGCAGGCGAAGAGTCACAATAACGTGGCTAAAGTATGTTGACCAGACCACACACTAGAAGGTGAAGGGACGACGACGTTTCGGTCCGTCCTGGACCATTCTCAAGTCGTTTGTGACTTGAGAATGGTCCAGGACGGACCAAAACGTTGTCGTCCCTTCACCTTCGAGTGTGTGGTCTGGTCGAAATACTAGCCACCTTCGGACAAGACACCCAGTTTGCCTTGCCTGCAAGTGAAGGGCACTGTCAGAATGATTACATTATATAGCACTTGGAAGAGAAATGAGGACAAGGAGTTATGAAGACTGAGTGGAGGAATTGTGCCTGCCCACGTGGCCTATTTGAGGTCAGCTGCCAACCCAGCAAGAAGTAAGGCCGTTGCTGTATTAACGAGGCCAAGACGATGGATTGCCTGTTAATGGAAAAATTACACTACTGGTACCATCTTCTAAAAAAAGAAAGAAATTTAAGTGTGTTTCCAAGTACTGTACAAGCAAGGAAACATCATTGCCTTGATGCACCATACACTATTTGCTTAAACAAAATAAACTGTTGAATGTAATGAAATTCCTCTTCCTGGCAAGTCCATGGTGTACTTGTTGGCTCACATTTCTTGTACTTGCTACCTGACATTTCACCCAATTCAAGCCATGCCAGGCCCGAACAAACAACAGCCCCAGAACATAAGACTATAAGAATAAAGGTAACTGCATAAGGCCTATTGGCCCATACAAGGCAGCACCTATTTATAACCACCCAATCCTACTCATATACATGTCCAACCCGCGCCTGAAACAATCAAGAGACCCCACCAGAAATGAGAGCAAATAAAAATGTTGCAAGTCGGTGGGTAAAAACGGCTGTGCTTCATGGCGGAGAAATGCACTTCAGGTGGTCGGTGACACACAGACATCCTCCAGTAAGGCAAAAGCCAGTACCCACCTCACGCAGACAGCCAACTGGAAACCTGTCTATCAACACCCAGTGACTCCCAACAATGTGTCAGGTGGTCTGGGTAGCGGACAGAACGCTGGACGCGTGATCCTGTGGTCCCGGGTTCGATCCCGGGCACCGGCGAGAAACAATGGGCAGAGTTTCTTTCACCCAAATGCCTCTGTTACCTACCAGTAAATAGGTACCTGGGAGTTAGTCAGCTGTCACGGGCTGCTTCCTGGGGGTGGAAGCCTGGTCAGAGACTGGGCTGCAGGGACACTAAAGCCCCGAAATCATCTCAGGATCTCAAGATCTCATATAAAGTTGAAGCCAATTAGCTAAAGCACTAATGCCCCCATAATACTTTACTCAAAACTCAAATGGGCATAATTCACCGACATCTTCGAGTGACCCCAAGAGAGCAGTAGTCAGCCTACCACCACACCATGTGGGTACTTTTTTTTTTTTTTACTTTTGTTTTTTTGCAGGGACATTCCTGCGCGGGCCCTAAGCCTCTGGCTGGCCCACTAAGTGTTGCTTCTTTCTGTTTTACTTGGGTGGAGTATGAGTATTTATGACTCGTATGGTCGCTTCATTAAGATTTTGTCCCATGTGTTTAACAACTTCTGCTCTGTTGAAGCTAAGTTGATATCTTAATAGGTTTGTAACTGTGCACTGTGTTAAATAATGTAAACACCATGTGGGGTACACCTGGAGCCCAACACCTCTCGGCCAAGCCGACACCGGACACCAACTCACCACCCGTAGAACCAGCCAGAAAATGCTAACAAAAAAATCTATCGACTGCCGCGACCCCAGATAAAGGGGCCAGGCATCACAGTGGGCTGCTGGAGAGGAATGCCAGGCAGCCACAGTGTGACCCAAAGGGCAATAGGTGTTTTCCATCAGATGGCGGCCTCAAGGAAAAGCTGGTGTCCAAACGTCCATTCGTCAAGGTTACCTGGAGTATACCTGGAAAGGGTTTCTAGAGTTCTTCTACTCCCCAAGCCCGGCCTGAGGCCAGGCTCAACTTATGATAACTTATAATAATAATAATAATTTATTTAGGAACAGTACATACATAGTTGCAGAGTTACAGTACAAACATTCTGTTAGATTTAAAGATGGAGGTAGTACTGTACATACAATACCTAAAGCCTCTAGTACGCATAGCATTTAGGGCAATAATTTACTTGGTCCAACAGGCTGTTGCTTGGAGTGGCCCAAGGTTAAACCAAGAGTCCTGTTTTACTTTTAACTTATCTATGCATGCCCGAATATGCAAGATTGCTGTAGCTCAGTCATTTCCACCAAAACACTGATCCAGTGCAACAGACCAAATGTGAAGAGCCAGCAATAACGATAAAAAATGTAAATATTATTTCTGCTTGTTTTCTTTTACGAGTTAAACTCTTGCCCTGAAGAGCCAAAGAGCTCCCTGCCATGGTCTCCAGCCTGTAGACTCTTATAATCTGGCCCGCCATAGGGGCTTTCCCCCCCGCTTCTGTGCCAGGTAAGTCCACTACGGGCTCACCATAGCCCGTGCTACTTGCCCCGCTCCTGTGCCAGGTAAGTCCACTACGGGCTCACCATAGCCCGTGCTACTTGCCCCGCTCCTGTGCCAGGTAAGTCCACTACGGGCTCACCATAGCCCGTGCTACTTGCCCCGCTCCTGTGCCAGGTAAGTCCACTACGGGCTCACCATAGCCCGTGCTACTTGCCCCGCTCCTGTGCCAGTAAGTCCACTACGGGCTCACCATAGCCCGTGCTACTTGCCCCGCTCCTGTGCCAGGTAAGTCCACTACGGGCTCACCATAGCCCGTGCTACTTGCCCCGCTCCTGTGCCCGGTAAGTCCACTACGGGCTCACCATAGCCCGTGCTACTTGCCCCGCTCCTGTGCCAGGTAAGTCCACTACGGGCTCACCATAGCCCGTGCTACTTGCCCCGCTCCTGTGCCAGGTAAGTCCACTACGGGCTCACCATAGCCTGTGCTACTTGCACCGCTCCTGTGCCAGGTAAGTCCACTACGGGCTCACCATAGCCTGTGCTACTTGCCCCGCTCCTGTGCCAGGTAAGTCCACTACGGGCTCACCATAGCCCGTGCTACTTGCACCGCTCCTGTGCCAGGTAAGTCCACTACGGGCTCACCATAGCCTGTGCTACTTGCCCCGCTCCTGTGCCAGGTAAGTCCACTACGGGCTCACCATAGCCCGTGCTACTTGCACCGCTCCTGTGCCAGGTAAGTCCACTACGGGCTCACCATAGCCCGTGCTACTTGCACCGCTCCTGTGCCAGGTAAGTCCACTACGGGCTCACCATAGCCCGTGCTACTTGCACCGCTCCTGTGCCAGGTAAGTCCACTACGGGCTCACCATAGCCCGTGCTACTTGCACCGCTCCTGTGCCAGGTAAGTCCACTACGGGCTCACCATAGCCCGTGCTACTTGCACCGCTCCTGTGCCAGGTAAGTCCACTACGGGCTCACCATAGCCTGTGCTACTTGCCCCGCTCCTGTGCCAGGTAAGTCCACTACGGGCTCACCATAGCCCGTGCTACTTGCACCGCTCCTGTGCCAGGTAAGTCCACTACGGGCACACCATAGCCTGTGCTACTTGCCCCGCTCCTGTGCCAGGTAAGTCCACTACGGGCTCACCATAGCCCGTGCTACTTGCACCGCTCCTGTGCCAGGTAAGTCCACTACGGGCTCACCATAGCCCGTGCTACTTGCACCGCTCCTGTGCCAGGTAAGTCCACTACGGGCTCACCATAGCCTGTGCTACTTGCCCCGCTCCTGTGCCAGGTAAGTCCACTACGGGCTCACCATAGCCTGTGCTACTTGCCCCGCTCCTGTGCCAGGTAAGTCCACTACGGGCTCACCATAGCCTGTGCTACTTGGAACGTTTAGTTCCCAGTAGCTGAATCTTAAACAACAACAGGGACTCCCAAACTCCTATGCTAAGTTAAGCAGTGTCTCCAGACTGTCTTACCATGACAGACAGGCTGTCATCAGCCACATACACTCACACTCACAGCTGTCAGACGCACTCACTCGCCCGCTCTTGTTTGTAAAGTGTAAACAAATCCAACGGGTTTAAGTATGGGGCTATACATTTTTATACATAATGATTTCCATATTATTTTCATCTACTGTAAGCTTTTAGATGATTTTAAATTTAAAATATTCATTTAAATAACTGCCATTCCAGGCATAGGAGGGTGCTTATATGGAAACTTATATTTGCTGGAGTTTTATTTATATTAAAAGATATTTTACCTAAATTTTATCATAGAAAACGAATAATCATGGGTGACTATAATATCAACAGAAGGGGACTACAGTTTGCTGTCCCATAGTCAAGGACAAGAAACCTTTATGACTTATCGAGGTCAATCCTAGGCCAGCTACTGACCTTTCCTACGATGCATCCCACAATAGTTAATTAACTCCCGGGTACATATTTAATGCTGTTATTGTGAACATTAATTACAAGTGGGAGATGCAGTAGACAAAAAAGTAACCAAACCCTGGGAATAGTCATGCGAGCCTTTGACTTCAACCCTCGCCCTCTACACACACAGACCAAACGAATTAGTCAATGTTTGACCAACCATCTCTATAGCTTCAATAATCTTCTGGACAATTTCTTCTAAGGATGTAACACAAACAAGGAGCAACGGTTTCAAGCTCAACAATCCGCAATGTTGGACTGAGAACAGGAAAAGGTTACATGGAGTTAATTAGGTAGTACTTAGTTCACGTCATAAACTGGTTGAGAGAGGTACAGTCTTTAACATGGTTGGGAAGGTCATTCCACATTCTGGGCCCCTTGATTTGTAGAGCATTTCTAGTTTGGTTAAGTCGTACTCTTGGAATATCAAATAGGTATTTGTTTCTGATGTGGTGCTCATGGGTTTTTGTTACAACCTTCAATGAAGCTTTTGAGGTCAGGATTGACATTACACTTCAGCGTTTTATACATATATAATACACATGAGAGAATGTGCGGTCTAACATATTCAGAGATTTGAGTAGGGGTACCGAGTGATGTCTGGGGCCAGAGTTGGATATTGTCCTAATAGCAGCTTTGTATAGAGTAATTAGAGGACGTAAATGATTTTGGGTAGTAGAGCCCCAAGCACAAATACCATAGTTGAGATATGGATAGATGAGGGAGTAATAGAGAGTCACCAGGGCAGGGCGAGCTACATAATATCTGATCTTAGAAAGAATGCCCATAGTTTTTGAAACTTTTTTTGATATATTTAGAATGTGTCCCTGGAAACAGTTAACTTTTAAATCCAACTGGGAAAGATCAAGACAAATGGAGGAGGGGGAACCTGCGACAAGCCGCCGCCTTCCTGTCCTCATAGAGACCATTAGTGTTAGTGGCTCTCAAGTAAGCTAACTAAACAAAGCTGCCGATAAAAATGAGAACTTTTGTAAACTGGCTGATAGACGGTTGGAACACGTTAGGCGAGAAGGTGCATGGTGGAGGCCAAGACCGTCAATAGTTTCAAAGCGTTATACAAGAGTACTGAGAAGACGGGACACCACGAGCGTAGCTCTCATCCTTTAACTACACCTGAGGTAGGTACACTTAATTACCTCAGCAATGAGCTATGAGGAAAGATTACTGGAACTGAAGCTCACGATACTGGAAGACAAGAAGAGCTAGGGGAGACATGATCACTACCTACACAATTCTCAGAAATTGATAGGGTAGATAAATATAAACTGTTTAGCACAGGTGATACACGAACAAGGGGACCTACTGAAAGAAAAAAGAACCAGACTAATCCTCATCTGCTACGTAACATTGCACAGATGCATATAGAAGCAAACTTGGCATCCGACAGCTTCACTTACTTCACAGATGGATCAGTAGACCAGCAGGGACAAGAAACCCGAGCTGCAGTTAAAGCAGGAAACTCTGTAAATAGTTGGAGACTCTCAAATGGGTGTTCGACTATACAGAGATGTTAGCCATTCAAAAGGCTTTGGAACATGCTCTTGCTGAACACCGACAACATGTTATCATACAGATTCGAGAACTGCCATTGACACCTTGCAACAAGAACACATGTGACAACATCCATCTGATCACAACTGTTATATCATTAATGCAAGCACTCAAACGACAAGGCCGTCGGGAACTTAATCAACTGGGTGCCAAGTCATTTTTTTTTTTGAGATATATACAAGAGTTGTTACATTCTTGTACAGCCACTAGTACGCGTAGCGTTTCGGGCAAGTCCTTAATCCTATGGTCCCTGTAATACGATCCCCTGCCGCGAAGAATCGTTTTTTCATCCAAGTACACATTTTACTGTTGCGTTAAACAGAGGCTACAGTTAAGGAATTGCGCCCAGTAAATCCTCCCCGGCCAGGATACGAACCCATGACATAGCGCTCGCGGAACGCCAGGCAAGTGTCTTACCACTACACCACGGAGACTGCAAATGTGGGAATGTGGGAATTATGTGGGAATAATAGGAAATGACATTGCAGACAAAGCTATAAAACTTGCAACTAAGAGAAGAAATGTAGACATTTACATACCACAGAGTCTATCACAGATTAAGAAAGTAATTAGAAACAGAGCAATGCAAAAGATGTACAGTGACCACAACACAGCAGTTGCAACATCAGGATCTGCGGGTTGGTACAAGAATTCAACCAACTACGAACCACTTAGTTTGATGAAAGGGAACAGTAGAACAACAGAAGTACACTTACATCGCATCAGGCTTGGATACCCATGTGCATGGGAAATAGGCTTAGAGGTTCCGGAAGATGAGAGGAAATGTCAACACTGTGGAGAAATGCCCGACAGACCACTTTAACATTATCTAACACAGTGCACAGTTACAAACCCATTAAGATTTCAACTTAGATTCAACAGAGCAGAAGTTAAACACATGGGACAAAATCTTACTGAAGCTATGCTGAAGCTATATTCCTCTTCGAGTCAAATACTCATACTCCGCCTCAGTAAAACGGAAACAATCAATATTTAGTGGGCTAGTCAGAGGCTTAAGGCCTGCGCAGGAATATTCCTAGAAAAAGGGGGGACCCAGGTGATAACTGAGTACCCACATGAACCACAGGGACGTTAGAAAGACCTTGTTCAGTGTGGGAGTAGTTAACAGAATGCATTAGGCAGTGATGTGGTGGAGGCTGACTCCATACACAGTTTATAATGTAGATATGATAGAGCCCAATAGGCTCAGGAACCTGTACACCAGTTGATTGACGGTTGAGAGGCGGGACCAAAGAGCCAGAGCTCAACCCCCGCAAGCACAACTACTAACTTCCTTCCTTTAGTACCAGAAAGTCTCCTCCTTGAACCATATAGTATGAGATATTATACTAAAGAACTTCTTATCTCGTGTATCAGCAATATCAACATTCTAATTAACAAGCCTAATCACGAGAATGCTTTCCGCCAAATTTCCCTTTACAAGCCTGTCGTTTAATTCTTTTTGTTTGTTTGTTTGTACATTGGCTTTACATTGGGCGACTTGTAACTGTGAGTTCACCTGTTTCCAGTGATTGAAGTTCCCAATAACTGGATTGTTATGTAATCACTGAATCCTTCACAACTTGGGATTGGTAGCGCTTGAAAATTCCAATCCTTCTGAATTGGCAACTTTCCTTGTCCTCTGCGTTCCATTTCTCCTCTCACGTGGTAGTCTTTTTCACACACGGCGCGTCTCCTGTGTCAGGGGAGTACGACGGGCTCACCATAGCCCGTGCTGCTTGCAACCTTTGGTTCCCAGTAGCTGCATCAAATCAACATGATAGTCTTAGGGAAAGACACCATTAATTATGACTCCTGACAGTTTCGATTCTATGAGTCCAATTCAACCCGTTCTCGCACTTTCTTACAGTCAATATTGACTTATTAAATACGTGCATATGTGACATACTAATTTATTGTGAATATTTTAGTTTACCTTGAAAAGCTTCATAGAAAACACCGACCTTACCCAACCTTCTTAGTATGTTAAGATAAGCATCTTATTGCTTCGTAATTACAATTATTACTTAACCTATAATAGGTTAATTACAATTATTACTTAACCTATAATAGGTTAAGTAATAATTGTAATTACGAAGCAATAAGATGCTTATGTTAACATACTAAGAAGGTTAGGTAAGGTCGGTGTTTTCTATGAAGCTTTTCAATGTAAACTAAAATATTCACAATAAATTAGCATGTCACATATGCACGTATTTAATAAGTCAATATTGACTAAGAAAGTGCGAGAACGGGTTGTCCAATTACACGAGGTTTATCGTCATTTGCCCATTCCTTGAGTTAATTACCTTTGTAACTTACTAATTTCATCAATACTGTGCAGCACAAGACTTTAAAAACAATCTTGTAGTACAGTCTCACTATCAAGCTGTCATCGTGTGCCCTCCTTGTTGTTACAGATTTAGCTACTCAGAACGAAGTGTCCATGTAGCACGGGCTATGGTGAGCCCGTAACCTGCCCTGCTTGGCTTGAATGACTCTTCATGGTGTAGTATGTGGCGAGACGGGGTTGACGGGGTTTGGAGGAGCTGGGGGAAGGGATATTAGCTGTCATTTACTACTGTTGGGGGAATTCTGGGACGAGGCTGGTGGACAGGAGAAAGAAGTGCTGCAGAAGTGTGGCAAGGTGTGGTGGAGATTGAATGAATGGACATTTACAGCCTCCGTGGTGCAGTGGTAAGACACTTGCCTGGCGTTCCGCGAGTGCTATGTCCTGGGTTCGTATCCTGGCCGGGGAGGATTTACTAGGCGCAAATGCTTAACTGTAGCCTCTGTTTAACACAACAGTAAAATGTGTACTTGGTTGTAACAACGATTCTTCGCGGCGGGGATCGTATTCCAGGGACCTGCCCGAAACGCTACGCGTACTAGTGGCTGTACAAGAATGTAACAACTCTTGTATATATCTCAAAAAAAAAAAAAAAAAAAAAAAAAAAAAAAAAAAGTATTGATAGGACCAGACCACACACTAGAAGGTGAAGGGACGACGATGTTTCGTCGACCAGTATGTCTGACCAGTATGTCTGACCAGTATGTCTGACCAGTATGTTGACCAGTATGTCTGGTCAACATACTTTAGCCCCGTTATTGTGACTCATCGCCTGCGTATTGATAGGAGGTAGGGAGCATGGATAAGGAGGTATTATTTATACTACTGTTGTTATCCCTGGGGTATATGGGTTCCCCATTCCTCTAACCTTGCCCGTCTCATCGTTCCAGCAGCAGCAGTCTTCCCATATATCCCTGGATAAATGCTTCGTTGTTGTCCTGCACGGCAAAATGTATATTCTTGTTGCCTACAAGTTTTATATTTTACCCTCAAGGGGCAAATCAAGGCATAAATTTATCAAGGAGGGTAGAAAAAAAGATACTCAATCCCTTTAAATTGTATTATATTGAGGGAGCCTGACAGCTGAGTGGACGGCGCTTCGGATTCGTAGTCCTGAAGTTCCGGGTTCGATCCCCGGTGGAGGCGGAAACAAATGGGCAGTTTCTTTCACCCTGATGCCCCCTGTTAACCTAGCAGTAAATAGGTACCTGGGAGATAGACAGCTGCTACGGGCTGCTTCCTGGGAAAGCTTGGAAGATCATAAGAAATGTCTGTACAAGATGAGGAGACTGACTTAGAAGTATCAGACTGAGAAATTCTTC